TTAAAATCTAGAATATTCTTAGAGTACCTACAGTCATAAAACACTTTTTAGAGGTGCTTCCCATGCAAAGGGAATTTGTGCTGAAAAATGAAGGGGTTGAAGCCAAACAGCCAAATTCTGCCATCAGAAGGTGTGTCAGAGTCCAGCTGGTCAAGAATGGCAAAAAAACAACAACAAAAAAAAGCAACAACAAACAAATCACAGCCTTTGTACCCAAATGATGATTGTTTAAATTTTATTGAGGAAAATGATGAAGTCTGGTTGCAGAGGTCATGTTGTTTAGTGGCATTCCTGTAAGTCTGCTTTAAGGTTGTCAAAGTACCACTGTCTCTTTTTTGGCCTTATACAAAGGCAAGAAGGAAAGACCAACAGCTTAAGTTTTGATGGTGAAAACATAGTAGTAATACATTTTCATATGCCAAAAAACAAAATAATTAAACCTACAAAATCAGAGCTATTTGAATCAATTTTAATACATGGAGTGGATAATATATTCTCATGAAACAAAGTCACTGCATTTTTTACTGAGTTTTTCATACCTATATTTCATACCTTCCTAAACAATAGCAAGATTTTTCTATTCAAACTTTTTCAATACTTTCATTTCTATAGCTAACCATATTGCCATTTGTCCTTCATTTAGTGCAAATGCATTATTTAGATATTCTCTCCTTCTGATCTTTTATTAATAGACAGCAGTAAACGTTATAGTACTTGATGACAATGCAGTAGTAAATACAGACAAAGCATGAGTGCTGACTGATAGGATCCTGCAATTCCACTTCTGGGTATGTATCTGAAGTAAACAAAAACACTAACTTGTAAAGATATCTACACCCTCATGTTTATCACAGCATTATTTATAATAGCCATTACATGGAAACAACCTAAGCACCATGGACAGATGAATGAACGGAGAAGATGTAATGTGATACACACAATGGAACAACATTCAGCCATTAAAGAAAAAGGAATCCTGTTATTTGCAACAACATGGATGGGCCTTGAGGGCATTATGCTAAGTGAAATGAGTCAGACACAGAAAGGCAAATACTGTTTGATTTCACTTATATGTGGAATCTTAAACAAGCAAACAAACTAATAGACATATAAAACAGATTGGTGATTACCAGAAGTGGGGGTTGGGGGTGGCAAATTGGGTGAAGTTGATCAAAAGATACAAATTTCCAGTTAAAAATAAGTCCTGGGGATGCGATACACACCATGGTGACTATAACTAAGATTATTGAATGTTTGAAAGTTGCTAAGAGAGTAGATCTTAAAGTTCTCATCACAAGAAAAAAATTTGTAACTATGTGTGATGATGGGTGTTAACGAGACTTATTGTAATTATTTTGCAATATACATATACTGAATTATGTTGTACACCTGAAACTAATAAAATGTTATATGTCAGTTATAGCTCAGCTTTAAAAGCCATGAGTATTGAAATTATGACAGCTTAATTATAAGGTGATCATCCAGGTTATCCCCAGAGTATGCTAATGTTAATTTTTTAGATAGACATCTAAACAATCTATTCTTTTAGAGCCCTCTTGCACCCTCTGGAATATATCTATTTTCCCTAGAGATCTGTTAATTTGAAAAATATTGGCACAGTACATTGGTAAGTGTATTATTTCTCTTCAATACAAGTACCAGGAACCTAGCTCAAAGTAGATGAAATCAGAAGTGAACAATTATTCCCTCTTAATTGAAAAGTCTTAGTAGTTAATTTGCTTCAAGCATGCTAGCTACAGGTATTTAAATGGTATCATCAGACCTTGAATGTCTCCCTTACCTACCTTCTTTTTTCTCTACCCCAGAATCAACGGCTTTGCTCATCTCTTCATTGGCTTCTTTCTTGGGCGGCCTTTCTCCACATAGTGACTCCACAACGCCCAGCCTTATATACTACCAGCTTATTTTAACAGCTTTATTGAGATCTTTCATATAACATACTCATTTGCACTCATTTGAAGTGCACAGTTCATTGGTTTTAGTATATTTACATCATTGTGCAAAAATTACCACAGTCAATTTTAGAATATTTTCATCACACCAAAAAGAAATCTCATGCCCATTCGTAGTCACTCCCCATTTCCCCCAAACCCTCCCAGCCCTAAGCAACCTCTGCTTTTATGAATTGGCTATTTCTAGGCATTTCATGAAATAATATAATATGTCGTCTTTTTGACTGCCTTTTACTTAGTATAATGTTCTCAAGATCCATCCATATCATAGTATGTATCAGTACTTCGTTCCTTTTTAAGACAGTATTTTTCATTGTATAGATATTTCACACTTGGTTATCCATTCATCAATCAGGCATTTGTATTGTTTCCACTTTTTGGCTATTATCAGTAATGCTGCTGTGAACATTTGTGTACAAGTTTTTGTGTGGACATATGTTTTCAATTCTCTCTCGCCAAGAGTGGAATTGCTGAGTCATATGGTAACTTTATGTTTAACTTTGTGAGGAACTGCCAAAGTGTTTTCCATAGTATCTGCACAATTTCATATGCCCAGCAGCAGTGTAAAAGAGGTCCATTTTCTCCATATCCTTGCCGCCAGCACTTGTTATCATCTTTTTTTATTATAACCATCCTAGTGGATGTGAAATGACATCCATTAATTTTTAATACATTTTCTTGTGGTAAAATACACATAAAGTACAATTAACCATTTGAACTATTTTAATACATTAATGTTTTTAAAATTTGTGTGCAGTGAACTCTTAAGAGTGTTGAATTTTAAAAATATAAACCTAAAAACAAAAGCTATCTAAATAACAGTTACAATTATTTATATAGGCAGTCTCCAAAAACTGAATGAGTGTGTTCCAAGAGGTGTTTGTCAGTTACTTGAGATTCATTTTTCTCTCATAGGAACAGCATATTAAACACGAGTATAGTATCTCTGAGTCAGCAGCTGGAATGGAGAGTTCTTTACTCCTCAGCCTATTTGATGCTAGCTCTGAGTTGTGTAACCTAGAGACCCTTTGGAGTTGCTAGTATAGAAGTACCAAGTTTCTCACTGCACATTTTGCTGAGGATTTCTGACTTTTTAGAATGTTTGCAAATGTATCAATTGAGGCACCTTGGTGGCTGCTATGGGCCCCAAAAGCCACAGCTCTAGTCATAGGCAGTAGAAAGGACATGTTTATGTGTACTGTTTTTACATTCAGCGCTAATTTTAAGGTATTTATGGCAATAGATATTGTACATGATCATTTAATAAAAATGTTCTTTATGAATCTCATGGGCTGTGTAGCTCTGACTTAAAAAATATTCTGCCCTGGCTGGGTAGCTCAGTCAGTTGGAACATCATCCTGTATACCAAAAGGTTCCAGGTTCAATTCCCAGTCAGAGCACATACCTAAGTTTCAGGTTCAGTCTCTGGTTAAGGTTCATACAGAGGAGGCAACTGTCCCTTCCTCTCCCTCTCTCTCTGTCTCCCCCTCCCTCTTTCTCTCTCTTACCCCTTCCTCTCTCTTTAAAAGCAATAAAGACATGACTTCAGGTGAGGATTAAAAAATAAAATTCTGTATTCTTGGCATCAGTAGTAGCCAAATATCTTAATGCTGATAAAGAATCGTCATGTATTATCTACTTGACATATGCATTACCTCAGTTTTAGTTGCAGGACAAGTGATAACTATTCAAATAATTGAGTTCAAGAGATTAAATAGTCAAACCTCAGAACTATGGAAATTTCCTTATGTACTGAATTCACTAGAGATTCTTGTAATAGTAATTCAAACATTTATAGCAGTAACTTCTGGAGTTAAAATAGTTTTTAAAGATTTTATTCATTTACTTTTAGAGAAAGGGGAAGGGAAGGAGAAAGAGAGGAAGAGAAACAACAATGTGTGAGAGGTACATTGATCGGTTGCTTCTCTCACGCCCCCAAATGGTGACGTGGCCGGCAATGCAGGCATGTGCCCTGACTGGAATTTGAATAGGCGACCTTTCGGTTCACAGGCCAGTGCTCAGTGCACTGAGTCACACCAGCCAGGGCATTATGTCTAACATTTTTTACTTTTTTGTTTTGTAACAAATAGTTTTTAAGTAAATATAGTATGTACATGAGAATTCAGAACACAAATTCTTGTTTTAAAGAAGCAAACTGTTTTGATAATGTTTAATGTACCACCTTTTTTAAAAGCCCAAAGAGTCATAGACACATAAGACTGTAAACTTCTGAAAGCACAGCTATGATTTATTCTTCTTAGTTTTCACATTACCTTGGGTATGGAAGGCAATGAGTAATTTCAAAAAAAATTAATCTTCATCCAAGGACTTATTTTCACTGCTTTTACAAAAAGGCGGGGTGGGGGGGCGGCGTGTGGAGAGAACATCGATCAGCCACCCTCTCATACATGCCCCAACTGGGGATTGAACCCAGAACCAGGGTATGTGCCCTGATAGGGAATCGATCCTGTGATTTTCATTTTACGGGACGATGCTCCAACCAGCTGAGCCACACTGGCCAGGGCGAGTGATTGTTTTTTAATCAATTAATCTATGATGAAATTTACCCGACTACCTTTCTGTTCCTTTTAGTTAACATAAGAAACAAAAAATATATAAACTAAAATTTTCTTTGAGCATGTTTTCTTATAATAATAATTACCTTTATTTTTGATGTGAAAAATAAGTAGCAGTTAAAGATTATTGTTACTTAGCATTTCAAAATTCAGATTTAATAAAACATATTAAAGGGAGATTACTCATTTTTACAAAAGGATGCCTTTCAAAGATTATTTGTAATTTAATAACTCATTAGATTTCTTCAAGTAATAAATGCTTTGTACATTCAACATTTGATTAAGTTTGTGTTCATTCAGGAATGAACTAATTACAGAAAGTAAGTAGCATGTGTATATCAAAAACATCAAACTCACAATGTAAGCTTTTTGTAGGAGAAAAGGATTAAATGTATATGCATACTTAAATTTTAACAAATCCATTCTAACAGTAGGTATGTTTATTTTATAGGTCAGAAAACTAAGACCTAACTTGCTACCTTATCTGGAGTCTCATGGTGAGTTTGCTGGAGATCAAAATTAGACCCAAAGATTTCTGAATCCCAAGTTTCATGTTTCAATATTTGGTGTTAAAGTGACTCATAAAATTGATTGATGTCATATGTTGGTGCTTAGGTGACTCTGCAACTTGATGGATGACAATAAACCTTTTCAACCAAAAAGTAAGTATTGCTGCTGCAAGTGACGCTAGTATGTGTGACTTTTGTACATACAACCTCGCTTCATGAGAAAAGGTGAGAAAGTTAGAGGTGAGCACAAATAACAAGTAAAACAGAGACAGACTCATAGAAAACAGGTTGACAGCCATGGCGGGGTTAGGGGGTGGAGGGATCGAACAAAAAGGAGAAAGGACTCATGGGCATGGACAATAGTGTGGTGATTGCGGGGGTGAGGGGTAAGAAGGATAAATGGTAATGAAAAAAATACAATTAAAATGTCTATACTAAAATAAGTAAATAAAAACACTTATTAAACTAATACGTGCTCATACTAAAAAAGAACAATATATAATAAAAGAAGTTAGTAAACTAGAAATGAAGTGTTTCTTCATCTCTAGAGATAATGGTTTTTATACATAATCACAAAATTTTTTATGTGTAGACAAAAACTAAATTATTTCTAAATAAAATCATACTATATATGCTATTATGTGTCTTTAAATAATTTTTACCCAACAATCTACCTTGAAATATATTGACAGTGGCTGTACCTAGTTTAAAAAATGAGGAAGACTTATGAACAAAGGTATAAATCATTTTTTTATTATCAGTATATATGGATCTCCCTCATTTTTTAAAAGATAGCATTGCCAGACTTTGCCTAGTTTCTTAGCTTGTAAATTATCATGTTAAGTGCCTACTGCATACCCAGTAAACTACTCTGTGTAAGAGAAAATACAAAGAAAGAAAAAGATAAGTTCTTCACTCAAGAAGCTTACCTTGGAGTTGCACATATACAGTGCAAACACAATAGCATTTTGAGTTTATATATGGTAAATTTTGAATTACATGGAATAGACTGCCAATGTAGTAAGAGGCAGAAGAAAAAACAAGGTCTCATAGTTTATTGAGGAAGTTATAATTGAACCAAGAGTTTGAAAGAGGCAGGGGATTAACATTTTGTTGAATATCTCTGTGAAGTTAGGTACTTTACATGTCATTTTTTTAAATTTACCTTACCACTTCAATTAGGCTGATATTATATCAGTATTAGAAGTGAGGAAACAGATCCAAGCAATTTCTCCAGAGTCATATGATTGGAAGTGGTGCAATGATTACTTGAACTATTCAATTTAATGTCAGGTTCATGCTCTTTCTACTATACTTAAATAATGTAGACCGTCTAAGGTAAGAAGGAAGGATATTTTAGATGGAAGAAGGAATACAAATGAGGACTTCAAGGGACACAACGAAGATGGTGTGTTCAAGTAATCAGAATATGCAAATGCTAAACTGTGAATTTTTAATTGTACTTAGAACATTGTGTTTGTGTCTGTGTGTGTGTATAATATATATATGAAGATAGTTTAGAAAAGAAAGGGATCAGTTCATAGAATTGGCTACATTTGTAAGAGTGGAAAAGTGTTTTGTTGTATGGTAGGTGGACTACTAAACATTAAGCAACCTTATGCAAAGAAATTATTTTGGCATACCTGTTTAGAAGGGAAAAATGATATTAAAGATTTTTTTAAATAGCACACATTTAGTAAGGTGTTTTGTATGCAATCCCCAAATTATTTACCTAGGTCCTTTTAATTTTGAGTTAAAAGTAGAAGTGACATTATTTAATCTAGTAAAATTATCTTTAGAAATTACTGCATTTAAAAGATAAAGATATCATTGTCTGAAAGACAAGATGATATTTTCTAAGCCAGAACCCTGGATTTATTGTTTTGTTTTTATTTTTATTGTTTAGTTGTTCCCTATCCACGTCTCACTCCCTGTGTTTAGCACCATTTTTATCCATCCCTATTGCTATTATTTTAATTTTGATTGCTTCCTCAATATTTTTTTTAACCAGAACAATACATACATAGTTTTTAAAAGGCAAATACATAATCTGGACTTTATAACTACCATTTCTTGAACAGTGTGAAAGAGCAAGAGAGAGGATTGTGCACATGAGTATGCCTGTGTTTTGGGCCTGTGTACTCCCATGTCTTTTCAAATCATCCTCTATTATTAGTTTAGCTGTTTTTCTAATAATCATTACCATATATATAAAATTTTAAAACACACATATATGTAGTCTCTTGAATCATACGTTTTTGCCATTATATAATGGTTTTCCTATTAAGCAATATGAAGATTTTAGATTTCTTACATTTACCTCTCCCTCCAGGCATCACCCAATGTAGTTATATCTCAATTTTTTTATTATAGTTGATGTTTTTATTATGATAACCATAATAAATAATTGTTCCCTGATGAGCATAGTACTATGGTATTAATATGTTATGGATACATTTACTTTTTTTCTATTTTTAAAAATATATCCTGTAATTTAAATTTTTTATTCTTTTATTTGCTAAATTTAGCTGAGATCTATCGCCAAGTCATCTCACACCCTTCTAGCCTCTTAACTCAATTTTCTACATGGTAAAACTTGTAAGGTAATTTAACAATTGTGTGTGTGTGCGTGCGCGTGTGCGTGCGTGTGTGTGTGTGTGTGTGTGTGTGTGTGTGTGTGTGTGTGTGTTCTCCAGCTGTACATTGCCTGGTTACTCTCTAGACCTGTTGAACAGCTATTGCCTGGGACTTTCCTTCATCTTTGTATTATTTTCAATGTCATGTTTTCTGCATCCTGGTCTTCCTCCTTAAGTGTCGTATTTTGGTGGATTCCTTCTAAAAAAGAAAGGGTGAATGGAAGGTAAATTTTGTCTGATATTTTTGGTCTTCATTCTTGATGAAAGAATTTGTACCTTACAGCTAACAAAAATCTTGACTGGGTATAGAATTTTAAATTGAAATTTATTTTTTACTAAGACTTTTGAAAGCAGTATTCTAACTTCCTTCTCTCTCTCTCCACTCACTCTCAGATGTAACAATATTCCCTTATCTCCAGTATTCTGAAATTTCACAATATGTCTCTCTACTGTAGATTTTTTTTTCCTTTTTTCTTTTCTTAAGTAATTGTGCTAGGTGGTGGTGAGCGCTTTCTATCTGGAGATTTATATCCTTTACAACTGGGATATTTTTCTTGTATTTTTTTTCCTTTGATTACATCCCCTTTTTCTTTGTTCTTTTTCTGGAACTTTTATTAGGTGAGTTGTAACTTTGAAATTGATTTTCTAACTATATATAATATTGGGCAAAAATAGGTTTACAATTGTGAGTATACAAAACAGAGTTTATTCTTTTTTTTTTTATCCTCACCCGAGGATTTTAAAGAGAGAGGAAGAAAAAGAAAGAGAGACATCGATGTGAAAAAGAAACATCAATCGGCTGCCTCCTGTATGTGCCCCAATTAGGGATCAAACCTGAAACCTAGGTATGTGCCCTGACCGGGAATCAAACCCTTGACCTTTTGGTGTACAGGATAACGCTCCAACCAGATGAGCCACCCAGCCAGGGCCAGTGTTTATTCTTGTATTATTATTGATTAATTATTGTATTATTTTCCATATAAACAACTGTAAACCTACTTTTGTTCACTCCTGTATATATATTTTAATTCTACTTTTGGGACATTTACTCAACTTCAACATTTGATATTTTACTGAACTTTGGCTATATTATTATCTTTGTTTTCTGAATCTTACTTTTTTATAACATTATTGTCTTATCTCTCTAAAGTGCTAATTATATTTTCTCTAATATTTTCTCCTGCCCTCTATATTAAATCTGTTTTCTTTAAGGTCTTTCTGTTTTATTGATTTTGTATTTCACATTGGAGGTTTTAGTCATATTTCTGATTCTCATTAGTTGTACATCCATATTTAAGAATATGGCACCAGGCTCTGGAGGGGGTGGAGTTGAGGGGGTGGAAGGATCAAACAAGAAGGAAAAAGGTCTCGTGGACATGGACAACAGTGTGGTAATTGCAGGGGGTATGGGGTGAGTGGAGATAGAAGAGAATGTAGGGGGAGATAAATAATAATGGGAAAATATAATAAAATTAAAATAATTTTTAAAGTTTTTTAAAAGATGAGATACCAAAATGATCACAAGGAGCTCTGTATACTTGATCAGCACTTGTAGCTTGGTGGTGGTCACAGTATGTTCCTTGCTTAGTTTCTTCATGTGAGAAATGTCTTGATCTGTCCTGAGATGGAATAAGCTTCACTTAATATTCCCTATTTTCACTCCAGCACCTCATTCCTTCTTTGTTCTGTGCCTGGTACATCTCAACCTGGTTCACTTTTTCTATTATATCTCCCACCTGTTGCCTCGTATTCTTAGTTTATCTCCCTTTTGTTCATGCAGAAGTCTGTGAGGTTTCTTTTTCAGATAACGGGTACAGTCCTTTTCATAGATATAATTATATTCTAGTCATAAAACTAAAACTCAGTTTCATTGGACTTGATTGTTCCAAAAAGTTACTGGCCACGGCAAATAACTGTTGTTACCCATTATGTAGCTATCCAGCTTAACTTTACTAGTTTAGATATTAGAGATTGAATTTGGAGTTTCTTAATTTTTGCTGCCATTTGCTGACAAATAACAATTCAGTAGCTGCTATTAGCATTATCAAAGTGCATGTTAAATATCATACTATGTATTGCAAAAAAAGTATTTAAAACTAAGATTTGCTTTTATTCTTTTGAAAATTAGATAATTCAAAAATGGCAGAACTCTTTATGGAATGTGAAGAAGAAGAACTGGAACCATGGCAGAAGAAAGTAGAAGAAAATCAGGATGAGGATGATGATGAGCTGATCTTTGTCGGAGAGATATCAAGTTCAAAACCAGCCATTTCAAGTAAGCGTTTACCTTCTTTTTTTCTATTTTATTCTTTATTGTTTATTCTATTACAGTTCTCCCAGTTTTTACCCTTTTGCCCCCTTCCACCCAGCCCACCCCTCTCGCCCACGGTCAATCCCCTTCAAGTAATCATTTACTTTCAATGAAATTTCATAAGATGTTTCTAATGGAAGAAACCTGCATGCTCTCTCATATGTCCTATTACTCATGAGAAGGAACATAGAGGTCAGTAAGAATTTGTGAGAATCAGAGGGAAAATGTGGTTGGGACTTGTACATAACAACATTGTAGGCCTTCCGAGATTGGAAATCATCATTTTTAATGGAACCAAGTAGCCTATTTATACCTGTTTATTTGTTAATTTTTATTTTTCTCCCAAAAGACCAAATGCACCTAGACAAGGAAGTGTTTGGAATATTTTGCTTAAAATATTGGAATACTAAGTAAGTTTGTGTTAGTCTCTGAGGGGGTTCTCAAATCACAGTGTCATTTTGATTCAAGTCTACAAAATAAACAGGCACTGCATGATTATACAATCTCTTGTCTGTGTACCAACACGGGCTGTAGCTTCTGCTCACAGCCACCTTCTAGTAACTCCTGATTATATTCATGAGGTAGGGGGGCCTGGTCTTCAGTCCGTGTACTTCAATGACGCAGGCAGTCAGCACATTTAATCATCATGTCTTTGTAGCAGAACATGACCAGTATCTGTGGATTATTAGATTTCAATTACAGTAAGTAAACTTAACATTGTAATAATGTTAAAGTGAAAATTTTGATGATACTATCTTAGATGTCCAATAAAAATGTGTAAAGTACAGAGGAAGAACATACTGAATGTCCGGGGAGAAAGAGGAAACAGATTTTATCCCATTATAGTTACTTTTTTAAGCCAGAATTTATTAAAGAATGTAGCCAGCACACCGCTGTTTTCTTACTTACCATGGCAGTGCATAATAGCATGTTTGAGAGACAAGTTTTTAATTTTATGAAAGCCTAGTTCTTGATTCTCTTGACTCTAAACTAGGAATAGCACTTCTCTTCAGTTCCATCAGAGGTAGAATAATTTATGTTAATTTATTTCTCAAAATTGTTTCTTATGGAGAATTTGAGAGGTGCTAAGTGGAGAGCCACTTCAATTGTAAAATGAACTAGGCATGTTGGCATGTTTGTTGTTGATAGTGGAACAGAATATTATATTCTCTTAATTATTGTTTTGAGTTACTGTGATTATTTTTGTACTAATACATTACCATATTTCAAAATTATTACTCAAATTATCTTACTAAAAACATGACAGTTCAAATTAGATTTATATCAATTATAAATGACTGTTAACAGTACTTAACTAGAATAAAGTGCATTAATTTTATGTAATTGTATCAAAAATAAAGTTGACCCCAGTGAAATTTCTTTTCCAATTAAACTCAGCATTTAAATGATTTTATTGATGTTTTATGTGTGAGCCATAAAGTATTGTTAGCATATGGAACATGAGCTAAATATTTATTTAGAACCACCATTGGGGAGGGGTTAAAAACGTTTCTTTGCTGGACTGCTGTCATCAAAAAGTACTATAGGAATAACTCTAATAGCTCTTTAAATACCATGAATTTCTGAGTGCAAATAATATTGTTGTTTTTGCAGATTTTTCTCCTAGATGACTTCTGTAGTGCTTAGTCATAGAGTACTGCATTTACATTATCATAAAACAGCCCCGTGTGGCCCTTTACTTTATAAATTATTTTATGAACATCTGGTTCTTTTCTACTAGGAGGAAACAAAGGAAATTTATTGAGGATTTGTGGGATTCTTTTTATTTAATCTTTATAGTGTTTCTTCCATTACCATTTAGTCCTCTTACACTCCCCTCCCCCCAGTAATCACCACATTGTTGTCTGTGTCCATGGGCCCTTTTTCCTTTTTGCTCAATCCCTTCACCCCCTAACTCCCCCCCCAGTAGCTGTCGTCTGTTTTCCATCTATGAGTCTGTCTCTCTTTTGCTTGTTAATTCAGTTTATTCATTAGATTCCACATATGACTGAAACTATGTGGTATTTGTCTGTTTCTGATTGGCTTATTTCACTTAGCCTCATGTTCTCCCAGGTCCATCTATACTGTTGCACAGGGTAAAATTTTCTTTTTTACAGCCAAGTAGAATTCCATTGTGTAAATGTCCCATAGTTGTTTTATCCACTCATCTGTTGATGGACACTTGGACTGCTTCCATATCTTGGCGATTGTAAATAACACTGCAATGAGCATAAGGGTGCTTATGTCCTTTTGAATTAGTGTATTGGGTTCCTTTGGATATATTTCCAGAAGAGGAATCGCTATGTCAAAAGGCAGGTCCATTTTTAGTTTTTTGAGATATCTCCATACTGCTTTCCACAGTGACTGCACCAGTCTGTATTCTGTGGGTTTTTAAAATTTAATCAGTATTTATATATTTTTACATTCAATATTATTTTGTATTAATTTCGAGTGGACAGCATAGTGGTTAGTCATATGTTGAATACAAAGCATTCCCCCAGTATTTCCAGTACCCACCGGGCACCATACATAATTATTACAATATTTTTGACTATATTCCCTATGCTGTACTTTACATCCCCATGACTATTTTGTAACTACCAATCAATCCCTTCACCTGTTTCTCCCAGTCCCCCAAACACCCTCCAATCTGGCAATCACCAGTCTCCTCTCTATATCTAGGAGTATGTTTCAATCCACATAAAAGTGAAACCATATGGTATTTGTCTTTCTCTGACTGACTTATTTCACTGAGCATAATACCCTCTAAGTCCATCCATGCTGTCACAAGTTAGAAGATTTCATTCTTTTTTAAGGTCGAGTAACATTCTGTTCTATATATGTACCACCGCTTTTATCTGTTTGTCTGTTGATAAGCACTTCGGTTGCTTCCATATCTTGGCTATTGTAAATGATGTAGCAATAAATATAAGAGTGCACATATTTTTTGAATGAGTGTTTTGGGTGGGGCAACCCAGGTTGCTTAGTTGTGATGCTGTATGTGGAGGAGGGGTCCAAGAGGGAATAATGCCACCTGCTCGGCTCTCGACCAGCTTTCAGTCACCTCCCCTGCTACCCACAAGCAAATTGGGCCCTTCTGGTGCAGGTTCCTGGGTGGATGGGTTTGTGTACATTCTAGGACCCTGTGAGTCTCTCCAACCAACTCTCCTGTGAATCTGGGAGTTTTTCCCACTGCACACCCCCACAGGTTTTTTAAGCCAGGGGTTTTGAGGCTTTCTTTTCCTGCACCGGAACCTTAGGTTGCAAGGTCTGTCTTGCTCCCCAGCTGTCCCTCCCAGTTTATCCACACACAAATGTGGGACCGCCAGGTCTGCCAGCCACTGCCTCTCCCACCTGGTCCTCCACCCACTGCCTTGCCACTTGTCCTCTCCACCCCGGCTGCCCATCTCCACCCGCCCCCCCCCCCCCGCACTGGTCTGGATGAATGTACCTCCTCAGTTGTCAGACTTCCAAACAGTTCAATTTTCTGGCAGTTTTGGTTATTTGCTTTTAAATTTGTTTCCCTTCTTTTGATTGTGCACAGAGGCAAAGTGTTATCTACCTATGCCTCCATCTTGGCTGGAGGTCCCTGTTTGTTGACTTATTGATGATAGCCATTCTGACAGGTGTGAGGTGATATCTCATTGTGGTTTTAATTTGCATTTCTCTGACGATTAGTGACAGTGAGCATCTTTTCATATATCTATTGGCCATCTGTATATCTTCTTGTGAGAAGTATTTATTTAGGTCATTTGCCTGTTTTTTAATTGGATTGTTTTCCTGGTGTTGAGTCTTTATAAATTTTAGATATTAACCTCTTATCACATGCCTCATTGGCAAATATCTTTTCCCATTCGGTAAGCTGTCTTTTCATTTTCCTGATGGTTTGCTTTGCTGTGCAAAAACTGTTAAGTTTTGGGGATTTTCTTAATGCTGCGTACCTTTTACTGATTAGCAATTTTAGGCAAATCTTTACTCTTCCAAATTTTCATCTGATTCCTCAGTAATCTAGAAGTTATGGGTTCGTATAGGTACAAGAGTGAGCAGTCTTACACTGGTCCAGAGGTTCATGTCAGTATCAGGTTTACTTTTGGTGTAGTAGTGAATTTGAGATACTTTGGGTAAACTTTGGGTTCAATTTAGTCTGCAGTCTCTGACAGTGTTCCTTTCAGAATTTAAGAGTAATGGAACAGATAATCCAATCAGCTTACCCATAATGAATCTTCTAGGCCTTTAGAGGTATGAATGAAGCATGAGGATTAGGGAAGGGCTTGAGTCACAGGAACACAGGTCTACATACAACCTTGTTCTATTATCTTTTATATATTACACATTCAAATAAAGGTTTAAATATATTTTAGTTTTCAACTACAGTTTACTTTCAATATTATTTTGTATTGGTTTCAGGTGTACAGTATAATGTTTAGACAATCATACTTTACCAATACTGCCCCCCCCACCGATATTTCCAGCAACCACCTGGCACCATACATAGTTATTGCATATTATTCACTGTATTTTCTATGCTCTATTTTACATCCCTGTAACTATTTTGTAATTGCCCATCTGTACTCTCAATCCCTTCGCCTCTTTCACCCAGTCCCCACCCTCCCTCCCCTCTGGCAACCACAAGTCTGCTCTCTGTCTATGAGTGCATTTTAATTTTGTTTGTTCTTTTAAAATAAATGTAATTTTTATAGATATTTTGAACAGAGGTAACTCCAGCTCATCTTCAAAGGGAATAAAGAATGAACTACACAATCAAGGTATAGTATTATTGTACTATATTAACTTTAAACTGAAACATTTTGACAAAATTGATTGTATAGAAAAATATTTAATTTATTGTGTAATTTTAAAATGCAGGTGTTACTGATGCCTTCAAGCCTACAAGTCAACCTTACGAAGACCCAACATCAAATCCAGTGGCTGCCTTACCTAGATTTAATCCTGAATCTAAATCTTCACATAGCTCTGTTATTCAGAATGTGTCTAAATCTGTAAGTGTTTCTGAAACATCAGTTAGCTCAGGGACGCATTGAATATTATTATGCCCAGTTAGAATTGTGGTCTATCATAGCTAGTCACCATTTCTGTAGAAGCATAATCGCTATGAGAAAATATCACCATCTTTATAATATCTCAATATTCAAAGTAATAGCTATATGAACTAATTATCCAACCTGTTAATAAGTGAGGTAATTATATTTAGCTCAATTTTAATAGGTATAATATTGAAAATCATGTTAATCTAAATAGTATAGTCAGTAGTGAATACTGCACAATGGCAAAATTCTTAAGATAGTAAATTGAACCAGCTATTCTTAATTGTAAGATTGTTCTAAGGTCATTGTTGCTGTTTACTCTGAGAACATAGTTTTCAGAAGTTTAGTTCTTAAAATGTTTAACAGAAGTGATTGATGATGATATTTAATATTATTCATTAGTCTGTTAATAATAGAGCTTTGTTCTAAATGCTACATATAAGTTAATCTCATTTAATTTTACCACTTTTTTATGATGTAGGCACAATAATCATCCCCACTTTAATAGTCGAGGAAACTGAGGCTCAGAAAGACTACATAATTCACTCAAGGCCACGTAGCTGGTAAATGATGAATTTGCAGTTTCAATCCAGGTTAATCCAGAGTTTTTAAAATATGCACATGCACATATCTATCCACACATTTTGGTATGTACTTTTTAAAATAGAAGCATTGCCTTAGGGCTACAGTGTAGACCACAGACTGTTCGGGGTTCCCTGGGACTCATTAAGGGTTCAGTGAAGTTAAAACTGTTGTCATAGTAACACTAAGACATTTTCCTTTTTTAGTTGTCAACATTTGCACTGGTGATGCAAAAACAATGGAGGGTAAAACTTCTCACACTTTAATATGAGTCAAGGCAAAGGACCCAAACTATACTAGTAGGTTTTTGTATTGGTGACTGCTGAGCATCCACAGTAGAAAAATTTCATTTAAGAATATCCTTGAAGAACTAATAATTTTTACTAATTTTATTAACTTATCCTTTGAATATACTTCTTTTTTAAACATTATATGTAATGAAATGGGTGAGATGCATAAAGCATTTCTGTCTCTGCAGTATAGGGTTTTCTTAAGTACTTGTATGATTCAGTTGCAAGCTGAACTCATTGTCTTTTTTAATGGAATGCCATTTTTACTTGAAAGAATGACTGACAAAGCACCATATATTAATTATTTATTGCTGAATAACAATAATACTACAAACACAGAAGCTTAAAGCAATACATACTTATTACCTCATGGTTTCTGTGAGTATGGCCTAACTGGCTTCTCTGCTTCAGGGTCTCATGAGGCTGCAATCAAGATGTTTGCCAGAGTAGCAGTAATATTTAAGACTGCTTCCAAGCTCACTTGGTTGTTGGTGGTATCCAGTTCTTTGTGGGTTGTCAGATTCAGAGTGTCAGCATCTTGCAGATGTCAGCCACAAACTGCCCTCAGTTCCTTTCTCTGTAGGCTTTCCTAAAATGACTATTTGCTTCCTCAAAAACAGCAAGGAAAAGAGTCCTCAGCAAGATGGACTTTGTAACAATCATGTGCATGTCGTCACTTTTGCCATATTGTATAGGTTAGAAGCAACCACAGGTCCCACACATACTCAAGGGAAGATTACACAAGGGTGTAAATATCAGGAGGGAGTTGTGGGGGCTACTTTTAGAGTCTGTCTGGTACACAGTTTTTCAGTCCTCAAAAATGTACAAAGTGTGCCCATCACAGAAAAGCACTAATAGTATTCTTGTCAGCGATAAAATTAGAGCTTTGAAGCAAAAAAAAAAGAAGAATTTTGTTAAATTTGTATCTGTATTCTGAAACACTTAACCAGTAATAGTATGAGCCCTGGACTAGTAGTTCAAGAAACGTGGATTGAAAATAAGAGCAGACAGGAGTACTGATTCAGTCTTTGATCCTAACTGCAATATTGTCACAACCCCTCTGGGCCTCCCTTTCTAAAATCAGAACCTTTACCCAAACTACTGGCTCTCAAATGTGGAGCCTCTTAAGTATCCATGGACTGTTTTTAATATTAAAAGGAAAAAAAAACAAAACAACTTAGCCCTGGCTGGTGTGGCTCATTGGGTTGAGTGCTGGCCTGCAAACCAAAAGGTAACCCGTTTGGTCAGGGCACATGCCTGGGTTGCAAGCACATGCAAGAGGCAACCAATTGATGCTTCTCTCCCTCTCTGTCTCCCTCCCTTCTGCTCTCTCTAAAATAAATTAAAACAAGAGAAAAACTTAATAGGTATACCTGAAGATGGCAGGCTGCCAGAAATTACTTGATTTTAGCTAGAATCAGATTAATTTAGTGGTGTTTTCACACTGTCCTAAGCTCTTTGGCACTAGGAGAAAAAAAATATACATCATGATTTAAATGCAGATAAATGAAAATAATCCCTATACTGGACCCAGGGAGAAAGATTAACAAAGAGTAAAGGGGTGGCATCTTTCATGTTAGAAAAGTTAGAGGTCATTCAAACTCAGAATTTTTGTTTCTGTGAGCATAGTTGTTTAAAGTCCCCCAATCAGGTTCCCAGTCCTACTTTTAGAAAAAAGATTTTTTTAAAAAAAAAAAAAAAGATTTTTGTGAGTTGCTGTGGGGTAAGGTGAGGCCTGGGCAGGATCGATTTTTTTGAAAACTCTCCAGGTGACTTTAATGTGCAGCCAGGGTTGAGAAATACCCATATATATTCTCAAGTGAATTGAGAATCTTATGTAAAGGACTTCTCTCTGAAACTTTAAAACTTTTTCATTCTATCTCAACAACTCTTCTGAGCAAGCAGGAAGATAATTATTATTCTTTTAAAAGTCAATGTGATATAGCTTAAGGGCACAGGCTTTGTAATCAGGCCAACCTAGCTTCAAATTCCAGTTTTATCATCAATAACAAGCTGGGTTGTATTGGGAACCTTACTTAACCATACTTAAGTTTACCTATTTATAATATTAGGTCTTTATTAATACAGTTATGATAACTACTTGATAGAATAGGTGTACCATGAAAGAGGCACACACATTTTAAATAGACAATAATTGGAGGCTCTTATTTCTGTTGGAGAGGTGAACAGCTTGAACCTTAGAAGTGACTTGCCCAAGGTTTAATAGTTAAATAAATGGACCAGTATTATGAATCCCAGTCTATCATCTATTGTACCTTACCATTGTATTTGGTATCTTTCTGAACTATTTTATAAGATTCAAAAAATTCCCACGTGGAGAATTATTTTAGCAGGTTATTTGTTGAATAATATATCTGCTCCCTGAAATGGTGGTACTTAATTGACGAGGGTTATCACCTAGGAAAGGATTTAAAGTACCAACTTTATTTGGAGGAACTTCTGTTCAAGAACTATTTTGGACATTTGGAAAAAATATCTACCTTGCAGTAAGATTATGGTTGGTTACAATTAAGTCATAAAGTCACTATTGATTTTATATAATACACATTAAAGCTCAAATGCAGAAATCTGCCTGCTATATCTCAATTCTAGGAATGGAATGGCTTGGGTCACTTCAATATCTGTCTCTATAACTTCTTAACAAAGCCATGTCAACAGAAAACTTAGGAGCAAAGTAAGATCCTTAAAGCCTGATTGTCTCTCAACTTTTAAGCACAAAGCACTCAAGCAAGATTCTTATATTCCCATTATAAAGATAATATGTGTGGGAGGTAGAAAAGAAACAGAGGAGAATGCAGACTGTACTTTGATTTTGTTTCTGCAAATGGTTAGTGTGGTATGTAGAATATATCATCAATCAGGATTATATTTTATGTGCAGATCACTCTTCTTTTTTTCACTGAAATTTATATCAGAAACATTTTCGTTGTCATTGGGTATTTCTCAAAAATGATGTTGTATGGTTGTCTGTGATTTAATTTGTTTAACCATTTCTCCATTGTTGGACATACAGGTTTTCATTTTTTGCTATAACGAATAATTCTCCATTATATATTTTCATTTCCTTAGCATGAATTCTTGGAAGCAGAATATTTAAAACAATTGGATCAAAAGATATAAACTTTTTAAATCCCTTGTTATATACTGTCAAAATTCCTTGCAGAAAAGTTTTACCAAAATATAACCTCTACTTTGCCAATGATATCATTGCTTTAATTTTAACTTTTATTTCAAACTAACTTTATATTTCCAGATAAATTATTATAATAATCCAAAGAGTTCCCATATACTCCTTATCCAGTAGATGCTAATTTTGGTAGAGAGTAATAATTACCTTTGTGTTTTATTACTTATTAGTAATTGAATCGTTAAGGTTATCTTTATAGTTGTAGCACACAGTTAAAATCACCTTTATAAAAGTTTTTGAAACAAAACAATTACAACTTTTTTCCAGGATTTTACAAAGAATTCATCACAAGCTGAATCGGATGATTCCTCAGATTTACTTTTTGACCTGACCCAGGACACAGTACCACTGTCCCAAGACAGATCAACAATTTATATAGAAGGTTTGGTTAACCACTTTTTATAAATATAAAAAGATAATTGATGAATATGTATATGGAATAAATTTCTATTTTGAAGCCCATACCTTCATGTTAAGTTTTTCATATGTTATAAGATGGAATCTAATAGTTTATGAATGTCTTTCTTGGGTGATTTTATATAACATTGTATTTAATAATAGAATATTTTCTTTCTTTCTATTAAGTTGACTAACATGTATTCTTTGAGTTCATTCTCACTTGAAACTAGCCATAGGGTGAAAAAAATCTTAATTTCTATTAGGGAAGTCCCTTGATGCCCTAATACTATACAGATTGTTTTAAGTATTAATTTTTGGAAGGTCTTTAGTATGAGAAAAATGGCATGATTATAGTTGATTTCTTCACAGGCTAGTTAGTGTCTTTCTATCCAAGTAAATGATGTAGATATGATAGTTAAATATGATTATAGAGTGGTATTATAAAATGGCAGTACTAAAGAAACATTGATTTGCACATAGCAAATACTCAGTAAATATCCATTTAAGGAATAATGAAAATTTCCAATTGAAAATTGAAAGAGTTACCATTCTTTGTATACCATAGCAGAGTTCTTTGTTATTGTTAAGTTAGTATGCCTTGAAGGAATTTTGTCTAGTTGAAAATTCCCTATAATCAAAGCAATTACTATTTCTATATTAGCAAATTTGATATATTTCACTAAATGTAGCTAGGTTCATAAGAATTTTTTTTGCATATTTAACTTGCTTACTTAACAAATTAGTATGCATTTCCCAAACCAAAATAGTAAGAAATTTATGGTACTATGTGTACCAAAAATATTTTCCCTTTCTGATAATAATTTGGTTTGATGGTCACCTACCTAGGTATGCATACAGACTTAGTAAAATAGCCAAAATCCAAAATAAATGAGGAGAAAAAGTACTTGTCTGAAACCTGATTTTATAAAGTACATGGTCTTTACTATTTTTAAATCATCACCCAAGGACATTTTTTCATTGTTCTTAGAGAGAGAGGGAGAGATGAAGGGAGAGAGAGAAACATCGATATGAGAGAGTAGCACTAATTGGTTGTCTCATGTACACACCTGGACCAGGGATCGTATGCCCCTGGACCAGGGCCTGAACCCACAACCTAGGCCTGTGCCCTGAGCAGGAATCAAACCCTCAACCCTTCGGTAATAGGAGGATGCTCTAACCAACTGAGCCACACCTGCCAGGGCAGCACATTGTCTTTATTCATAGAAAAAGCCTGAATTCTTGAAGCTTCTAATGAGTAAAGACAGTGACTCCTACTCTCTCTCTCTAAGTTGTAGTACTACAAGGAGTGGCACGTTGCCCTAACAGTAAATAAGGTTATAGTTAATGAGGAAGATAAAGGTTTCAACCTCTATTCTAAACATTTTTGTGGCCTTTATCAAATCAACTAACCTCTTTACACCTAATTTTTTCATATTATTAAAATAGATACTTTTATTTTTTCTCACATAATGCATTCATTCTTCAGACCTGAGATCAGCCATTTGGAGATATAATTTTAATTCTTGCTCTACTTATCTCAGAGCTTTTTTGAGGCTCAAATGAGATAAGTGAGAAATACATTAAAGGCTTAAAAGACTTGACAGTAAACAGTTGTTTGCATGATAATTATGGATGCTAATATGTCCTATGTGTTCACAAGAATGATTAATAGACTTTTGTCTAGGATGATCATAGAAGGTTCTTGGAAAAGGTTGGACTTGAACTTGATTTTGGAGAATGAGAATAGGATTTTATTGGCATCATTGAGGATAGTGAAACAGCACAAGTCAAAAGCAAGAGATATAAATGCGTTAAAGAGTCAGAATTTAAAACTGTTGAGCTCAGAGTGATTTTATTTAACTTGGAGATTTACCCATACTATAAGAAATTATATATAAGTCTATTTTTACTTTACAGCCTGCTAGATATTCAGTTGCCTAGTCCAAAATACCAGCACTCATTGGTTGTTCAGGTAATCTGAGCATCTGAGAAGAATGTTAGTGTGATTACAGAAAAGTCAGTCCCGAGTGCCTGCAGTATCCTGTGTTTGAAGGTGGAAAAAATTATTTCTATGTTATCTCAAAAAACTAAACACAGATTTGATGTTGTATAATTTTTATCTCAAATTACAATTGTGTTATTTTCTAAAGGATTTCTGCTGGATCTGGTTATAGCCTAAATAGCCCCACTTATCTTGCAAATGCCCTGAATTGCATCATCTTTCACCCTTTAAGGAGATGTTTTTTCAAACTCAACTTTTAAGCAATGAAACCTCTATTTCAACTAAAATTTATTTAAAAGTCTAATTTTTTTTTAAAAAGGTGAAGGGGAGGTTCTCTGTCTGACATGCCCACTGTATTCCCTAAGACAGAACCATTAGACTCAGGGGGATAAACAGATCATTTAAACTACCAGTCAGGTTGTTAAGTGGAAGAACCAACTTGAGTTTTCCATAAGTATCTTGAAAGGTTTCTCTAAATTTTTAGAATACAAGTTGTTTTTGTTTACAAGCACAAATGCATTTGCACATCTAAAAATAAATTCATTTTTGGAACTAAATTTAGAATAGTAAAAATAGTTTAGAATGTGGTTTAATATTGGGGGTATTTTTTGGTCTGACTTTTTTCCTGGTAACTGTTTACATATTTCTTAAAGCATCTTTAGAATTTTTTGCTTACAAGTTTATTTCATGAGTTTAAATAGGTGTAATCCGTAATAGCTGTTTGTGCAATTTCTACCTATTGATCATATAAATTTTGATCATTCTTTATTGTCATTTGGATATGGTAATTCAGTTTTATTACCTTTAATTTAGCTCTGAAGTACATTTACTTAGTTTTAAATCTAAGGCCATTTTAGCAGCATTTGTAAGCAATGTTCTATACTATAACATTTACAAATATCTTTTTTACTTCTCAAATTGTAGCTCTGGATGAAACTTTCCCTATAATAAAACATTCTACTATTATAGCAAGCAGACTTAATCCAAAAAAGCCAAAGACCAGCGAAGATGTTTCTGAAATAGATTCTTATGCTTCATTGTCTTTAGACAGCTCTCCTTCAGTGACATCCTCCCCAGTTAAGACATCAATAGGTAAATATGAATATGGCATATTAAAATTTATATTTCTACATAAATTTTAAAAATTGTGATAAACTTTAAAACTATTATTACTGGTTGTTTAAGGTTTAAAAAAAGAAATATTTGAGTCATAAAAATCCTTAATTTATTTCAGATACCTCACCAATTGAACACAAAACTGGAATGCCTTTTCAAAGATCTTGTCCAAAGTGCAATGTTCAGTTCAATCTTTTGGATGCTTTGAAATATCACATGAAGGTAAAACTTTTTTCCAATTATTATTTTTACAAATACAAATATTTGAAAATATTAAAGATTGATATATAGTAAATGCTACTTTTTCCAGATATTTAGATAAATCTCCTCATTGGTATTTTCATATAACTTAAGTAAAAATTGATATTCATAATGATTATCTTCATACAAGATTTTAAAATCCTTCTCAGGCATCAAATTTTAAAACTTAAGTATATATACATTACAGGATATACATAATCCATTTTAGTTTTTAATGAAAATAATATACTAATCAGAATATTTTAGGTGCTTAATGTTACACGTAACTTAACAATTCCCTTTTTACTTTTTTTTTTTTGGTCCATTGTGACTTATGTATGTCACATTACTTAAGGAAAATTTTAGTCTTGCATTTTAATTTTCAACACTCAAGAAGTAAACTCCTAGTGGTGAATCATTTCATATTATTTAAATGATAGTTTTAACTCAATCCAGAATGTAGTTTATATAATTGTTATAAATTAATTCTAGCTTTATATCAGTATAGGAAGCTCTTGGAATTAGGTTTTTGGTAATTTTCAAAGTGTTAATGAAGAATGAGGTTTAGGGATCAGTCCTCTTAAAATATTTTAGTAGATGTTACAGTGTTCTGTGTGTCTGTGGAAAGCTAATCCATATTCTTGCATGCCCAGTATAAATGGCAGGAAGGGGGAAAGGAGGCAAGTAAAAAGGCAGTGTAGGTTATCTGCAGGAGAGAAGGGATAGGAAGCGTACAAGGCAAAGAAGGAAATTAAGAAAGGTTATTGCTATTTCAAAGATTGACAAATTTTTCATTGAAATTCAGAATTTTACAAAAAAATGTAATAAGAAAAGGAGCGTCCCAAAATTCTAAATGCAATCTTTTTTTTTTTTCTTCTGTAAAACTGTATTTGATTTATCACTATTTCCACCTCTCTGAGTAACTCCTGCTGACTGGACTTTGGGTTTTGGTTTTATATAAGAAGTAACTCCTAAAAGTGCTTTCAGTTTTCCTATCTATGTATAGAGATACTTGATGTCTTTTTTGTTTGAATTAGATGGAGAGAGAGAGAGAGAAAAGGCTGAGTTTCTTAGTTATTTTTAATTTATTTAACTTTGGAATCAATATATATAGTACATGATTCAAAAAGTATAAGAAGGAATATACAGTGAAAAATCTCACACCGGTCTCCTTATTTGCCTAGTTCCCAGTACAAATCCCAAAGGATATAATTTTTATTAGTTTATATTCTCTTTGCCTTGCTTTCTGCATATACAGGCACACATAAATGTTATTTTTCATACATTTTATACACAAAACATAGCATATTATATATACTCCTACATCTGAAGAAAGTGGCAAACATTCTCTAACATGTAGCTTTTATTTTGTAGTATTGCTTGCAATTAAAACTATCAGTTAAATTTTTATAATATTACAGTAGGGATTTACATCTTAAAAATATGTGAATGTTATTTGGGAACTTGAAAATAAGGGGTGTTTTTTGGGGAGTTATGGAATGTGATAGTTACCAGATCTGATGTACTAAATATATTATTTAAGTTCTTACATATTCACTTACATTTGTCTACTTGTTCTGTCATGGTGTGAGAAGGGTCTCAAAATCTCACGTTTTCACCACTATTTTCTTTTACATATTCCAGTTCTGTTTTATAGTTGTTGCCATTTAGGATATAGGTGAACCTATGTTTTTTAACTTCATTATGAATGTACCCTTTCGTGTTTTTATAAACTGTCCCTTTTTTGGCCTGGATTCTATTTTGTTTAATATCAGGCTCACAACATTTGCTTTCTTACAATGTTCATTTGCCTGTTTTCTTCTTTATCTTTTATTTTCAACCCTTCCTAATCAATTATTTTTGTTACGTTTCTTACTTTCACCAGACTTGTTTTTTTCTTTTGTGATCCTACATGAAACTTCTTTTTTGGTAGTGGTTGAGTTAAACATTTGTATTCATTGATAGGATAGATCTAATTAGTCTGATAGGTTTAATTGGTCTTGATTCTGTCATATTTTTTCTTGTGCTTTATTTTTTAAAGTCTTTCACTTTGTGATTGCATTGTGTGTGTAGTTTGTGTGTTTAGAAAAGTTATTCTTAAAGAATAATAGAGAAATTCTACAACTGAAAATTGTATACAGTAAGGGAATTATATTTATCTCATTGACAATAAAAAGCTCATACATGAAAGTCTTCCCATTAGGATCAGTTTATATGTGGTCTTGATTTTATTCATGATGTAGATTTCCATGATATTTCAGCATTCTAGATAGAATGTGTTGAGGTTTTTAAGATGCAATGGATGCTTCTTTCCTTGTGTCTCACACATTTTCTAGGTACCTTGAGTCTGGGGGATGGCAATTGACCTGTGCTCAAAGTCCAGTTCCAACCAGACTTTACTGAAATACTACTATGTTAAGCTATATTTTCACACATATATGAAATGTTTGATTTTTGGCCAAGTTGCAAGTTATTATTAGATAATTTACATTGATTAAAATTTTTTTTAAGTGGCAGAGCCAGTGTTAAAACCCAGGTGTATTAGTCAAGCTATCATAACAAAATACCGTGGGCTAGGTGTCTTAAACAGCAGAAATTAATTTTCTCAGGGTCTGAAAGCTGAAGTCCAAGATCAAGGTGCCAACATGGTCAGTTTCAGTTTCTGGGGAGGAGTCTTTTCCTGATTTGTACATGACAGGCTTCCTTCTGGCTTTCTCACAGGGCCTTTCCCAAGGGCATGAGTGTGGGTAGAGCAAACAAGGGAGCTCTCTGGTGTCTTGTTCAAAAGCTCTGCTCACAGTGTCAGTCAATTCTTTCCGTTTCGCTCTGATAGATTCAATCTCTTTCATGGCAGCTTCACTCTGAGCCTCTGTGAGCTTTTCATTGATATCCATTATTTCCATTAGGAATTGCCTGTCCATTTCATAATCTCTTCCTTCAGGAATCTCTACTCCATGGAGCCTTAGAAGGTATAGTCCCCTACTCAGGGTGGCCAGAAGGGTCTTACAGGTGTCATTCACCAGGGTTGAATGCTTCTCTGAGAAGTCCTTTTCAGTCTGATACCGCTGAAGAAGTCTGGGTGGATAAGATGCTGTAATTTCTGGTATCTCTGCTGGAGCTTTGCAGTATCAACTCTGAGGGAACGGTTGCAGTCCATAAGGCTGAAGTGGTCTCTAGTGGGGTCAGGTGGCTGCAGAGCCTGGCACTGTGGGCAGAAGAACCTGTCCCGTCCCCCTGAATGAAGTTCCCTGGGCCACCACAGTTCCAGTACTGAGGGGAGTTGTTTCCTTTTAGCGACGCAGCATTGCAGTTTAGTGGTCTCCTTCCAAGGACCCCTGTCCTACATTGGTAAAATTTAATTGAAAGGGAAAAGGTTGATATATAGCCATCAGTGATCTTAAGGTTTTGTATTTGTTTATTTCTTTATTAAGATAAAAAGGGTGTATATTGTTTGAATTGTTTAGACTATATAAAGAAAGAAGCCAACATTTTGGTGACCGTCTTTCCAGGTATAGTGCCAAGCATAATTTTATATGAACTGGCCCTAGTTTTAAACACAAAATCATTTTTGTTACCTAATTTTTAAAAGAGATGTAAGTATAGCTTCTGTGTTTTTCTCTTTCAGCATTGTTGTCCAGACATGCTAAATAAATTTTTGGAGATGATCAAAGTAGAAATTTCGAGTACTGAAAATAAAGAAAAGACTGGTACAGAGAAAGAAAAGTTGATCATGTTAGTTAGTGACTTTTACTACGGAAAACATGAAGGAGATGTTGACAATGAGCAGAAAACTTACACAACCTTTAAATGCTTCAGTTGCTTGAAAGTTCTTAAAAATAATATTAGGTATGTAAACATTCTGTTTCTGTTTGAAAATTGGGATGCTACAGATGTAATTATTGTTCTTTATTTAATTTTTTGCCATCTTAGATAAGCAATTTTAACACTTTCTATGAAGAGCAAAGGCAGATTATCATGTTGAAAAGTTTTTGTCCTTTCTTGTATTTTAGGATTTTGACAGTTGGGTCCACTTAATTGTATTTCTTTCAGATAACTTAAGAAAGAACAAAATTTATTTTAACCTAGGGGAAAATTTTTTTTTATTTATCATTACACTAGGAGATTTCATGGGACATTTTTATTTTTAGTTGCTTTTCAGTCTTATTTTTTCTATCACAGGAAGAACCACTTAATCCAGTTTGACCTCCCTCATATTAGTCTTAATTTAATGCACTAATTTTTCAATTCATATTTATAACTTTTAGCACATGTACCTTGTGGAGAAAGTGATCTTTTTTTGGTGATATTTAGAAGAGGACCAGTTCTTTGAAACATGTCTGCTTTGATTTTATAGTTTAGCATATTTTAAAAGTACAGGTTTAATTCTCAGTGGAATTTGGAAGGTCTGTACACATATGCTTTAAATTTTAGGAACTTGTGCTTTGCAGTCTTTGAGTTATATGACATATTTCATATCTATCATCCTAAGTGAGATAGTAACAAGACATTGATAGGTATTTTTCATTGTTTATACCACATAGCCTGACATTGTTTTTCCAACATTTTATTATAAAAAAATTTCAAATACTCAGCAAAGTTGAAAATTTTACAGAAAGCATATGTATGTATTTACCAACCTCAATTCTACCAGTAACATTTTAATACTTGTATTACTGCAGATTTATTCATTCAGAGACCCATATGATTTTTCTGATATTTTTCAGAGTAAATTATAGACATCAGTCCTCTTTCATTATGTGAAATACATGTGCCTATATTATGACACAAACGCATGTGTAAACTTTTAAAAATATTTACTCTTGATAACCATCATTTGTAAGTAACATTATTAGGCATCCTATAGGTCATTTGTAAGCCCAGGATTTATTTTATTTTCTGGTGAATTTTAGGTTTAGAGTGAAGTACATAGAAAAATGCTAAACTATACTGTAATATAAGCATAAACTAAATTATGAATACTATGTTTTAGGGTAGGGCTTTATGATTTCTGAAGGTTCTTAAAATATTATTCATATGAGTTTTCACACTTTTTCATCTCCATTTTATCAAGCCCTGACAGCCATCAATTGCTAATGGTCCTAGTAGCTTAACAGATGAGAAATTATACTTTGAGACGTAACACTGAACACTGCAACACTGTGACCTCTTTCCATGTTTTTACTATTTTTGTGGTAAAATATATCAGAAAACACATTAGAATTTTGATAAAATTTGTGGAAAGTAGCTCACAGTTCAGTTTATTATACTTAAATGTTATGCATATGACATTAGAAGTTCTTTTTAACAAAAGGTTTTTGGCTTTTCCTTTAAGATTAGTCATTTAATATTAAACAAGAAATGTTCTTTTCTGTTTTCATTTCAGAAGACTTGTTACAGATTTCTAGATTATCAGACTATCTAGAAATTTTAAGTGAAACATATTTTATAATATCTAGGAATTTTGTAGCATTTTGACATATTAGTCAGTAAATGAAACCCGAATAGTAAACACTGTCATATATGTTAAATTACATTTTACCTTAATATTAAAAACAAGGATGGCAAATTGTTGGTTTTAGAGAATGGTAGAAGCTAATAGCTCAAGATTTCTTTTCTCTGCCCTATCAATATATTGTTGGATATATTTTTTCCTACATTGAGTATAACTAATGTAGGGCTATTTTATAAGAATAGCCTTGTTAGGGATTTGAGAAGCATGCACTGCTGGTAGGGGAATTGTAATAATTGAAAGATAGCTAGTTGATTGGGAGATTATATTACACAAACAGATTTTATTTCTTAAAGTCATGAGCCAAAAGTTTAATGGATCATGACCTTTGTATGTATTTAGACAAGATTAAAACTTTTTAAATAGATTTATATAGAGATGAAGTTAAAAGGAGAGGAAAAAGACATTACAAAATGTACCGTAAGCAGCTCTAAAATGAAGTAATATTTTGGAAGTGTGAAAAGATAAATATTAAAGCCTCCATAATGAAGGATAGAAGGAATGCTATCTAGATTGATGATGTTATCACTTCATTTCATTACTTCCTTTTAGGGACTAATAATGAATAACAGTTAATATTTGACAGTCTTATTTTGATGGAATAAGTTTATTTTGAAATTCAGTAAAAAGTTTCAGTAAGCCTTTGAAATAGATATGCCTGTGAATATAGTACTCTCTGCCATCAAAGGTTATACTTACTTCCCATAAGAAGCTTTTTTGGGAATCTAACCTAGTAGAATGTAGAACTAAATTGATGGTATTGTACTAAAGAGGTCATAGCCTGCAAGTTAAAAGGAATAATTTGTGCTAAAAGGAAACCAGTACCATTATTTAAATTATCAGTATTAAAATGCTATTACATGCATTTAGAAACCAAGACACATAAAATACTAATAATTTTTCCTTTAAGCAGCTGAAATCCATTTTATATCTCTAAGGCCTTCAAAAGATTTCTCTAGTGACTCTATAGTAACTGCTTTTGGTGGTAGGGTTTCCTTCCTTTAAGTATTTTGTTTTAAAGTGTAAATAGTATTTCCTATACAGATAAGAAGCCTGCTGTTTTTCTTTACAAAAAAAAATTTAATCTAGAATAATGGTGGAGAGTGCTAGCAAATTAGTGGTATTTCATATTAACTATTAATGGTTATTTTAAAACCAAGAGATTATTTTATACAAATGGATTTATGCAAATGGATAAATAAAAGTGATTATTTAAAGTGCACACTTTTCACCCTGGCTGGTGTGGCTCAGTGGGTTGAATGCCAGCCTGTGAACCAAAAGGTCACCAGTTCAATTCCCAGTTGGGGCACATGTCTGGACTGTGGGCCAGGGTCCCTGGTTGGGGATGTGCAAGAGGCAACCTATCAATGTTTTTCTTCCTCTCTTCCTCCCCTCCCCTATCTCTACAAAATAAATAAAATCTTTAAAAAATAAAGTACACATTTTTCTAGAAGATTTTTATGGCTTAGAGATACTGTTTTTGAGTAATACAACTGCTTTTTTAACATTTAGGTTCAGATACTTATTTGTGAGGTTTTTCGTTGGTTATAAATCTGAATATTTGCACCTGTTGACAATTACTTATAGGTTTATGAACCACATGAAACACCATTTAGAACTTGAGAAGCAGAACAGTGAGAGCTGGGAAAGCCACACCACCTGCCAGCACTGTTACCGTCAGTATCCCACACCATTCCAGCTGCAGTGTCACATCGAGAGCACACACACCCCTCATGAGTTCTCTAGTAAGTTGCAATTTCACTGAAGTCCTAAACATTAATGATTTTCATCGTCTAAACTATGAGGAATCCTTAAGAAATCTGATACAAAAATAAGAATAAGAAATAGACTCTGTAGTTTGAGGGTGAAATTTGAAAAACAGCTTTTAACTTGTGGAAACTTTTCAGTAAAATTGCTTAGTAAAACTGAAGTTCCTTTTGCAAATAGGGTATAATTCATGCAATGTGTGTAAGGAGCTAAATTAGAAAACCAGATTCCCTGGTTTGCAAATATGAAATCAATGGTCTTGATTTATACTCTAATAAGAAAGGAACTGCAATGAAAGTTAAAATCACAGAGTGTGGAGTTAAACGACTTGGATTCAAATTCCAGCTCTGCCTCTTAATACAGCTGCAAGACCTCAGGCAAGTTACTTAATCTTTCTGTGCCTCAGGTTTCTCATCTGAAAAATGGGAATAGAAATAGCAGTACCTTTTTCAATGATGGAATGCAAATTATTAAATAAGCTAATGTAAGTAAAGTTCTTAGAACCGCATTTAACAGAATTAACAACTTTAGAATTGTTGGAACCACCATGACTATTACTATTATTACTTGTTGTTGCTATTGTTATAGGTGTACAAAATGAACCTCTTATTTATATACATCCTTAATGTGGTGCAATGTGTTTTTTTCCAATTTCAGCTATTTGTAAAATCTGTGAATTATCATTTGAAACAGAACATACTCTTTTACAACATATGAAGGATACTCATAAACCCGGTGAAATGCCATATATTTGCCAGGTACACACACATTTTATTGTGTACTTAGGTGTTCATTTAATTATCATGTGCCACGAAATAGTGTTGTTCTTTTGAATTTTTTAACCATTTAAAGAAAAGTTAGTAAAATTGAAGACCTCTTTCAATCATGGAAACTCCCTTGGTTTAACTCACATATGTGTGGGGTGGTGGGTTGGATTTTGCCTGCAGGTCATAGTTTACTGACCCCTATACTAGAAAAACAAAATACCCTGTTGGAAAAAGACAAACATATGGACTTTCTTACCAAGTAGGGAAGAATATGGACATACCAGAGAAATAGTAAATGCTGTTAGTTATGGGGAACTCAAGTAAATGTTTTGTGGCCATTATTTTTCCAGAATTTGAAGTGGTTCCCAATAAGATAGCAAGATAAAGAAAAATTGCCTCTGTCATATCCTAGATGCTACTTAAAATCCAAAGAAAAGAATACTCCAGTTTATATAGCAGGATAAATTTTTAGGATAAGAGGTATCAGAGTTTAAAAATTCAAGTGAGGGTTGGGGGTAGTAGATCTGAAAAGAAAGGAATCTAGTTATATTTAGGAATATATTCTTAAACTGATAACTTTTCTGTTTCAAAGATTATCATTATTATTTATAGTAATAGGATTCTTCATTGTATAGGCAGCAGAGCTGAATTAGTAGAGTGTAATGTTCCTCCGAACAAAGGACTCATCATTGCTACTTTGATGTAATTACATACCAGTTGTAAATTTTCAAGTTAAACTAAATCTTCTTTATATTTCCAGGTTTGTCAGTTTAGATCATCAACATTTTCTGATGTAGAAACTCATTTTAGAGCATCCCACGAAAACACGAAGAACTTGCTATGTCCATTTTGCCTCAAAGTTAGTAGAATGGCAACCCCCTACATGAATCATTACATGAAACATCAGGTGAGATTTAGCAGTTCTTGTTTATTTTGTCTCAATGAAAAAGAGTGTGTGTGTGTGTGTGTGTGTGTGCGCGCGCGCGCATAAACCTAGACGATTGGCCCGATTTATTCTAGAAGGAAAGCAAAGTTGTTCCAAATACACAATTTACAATTTATGCTGAATTACTTGTGAAACTTCCACTTCCTTTATTTGTCTGCTTCCTGGTGATGATGAGACTGATGAATAGTGAAAATTCTGAAAGACAGGTAGAAATAGGAACCCTAAAGTGGAGGGGAAGACAGAATATGAGTGGAATATTAAGTTGAATATTTCAGTGCTCTAAGAGTGGTGAGAATGTGAATGATTTTCAAGGTGGTCAGTCAGGAGCAGGGAAAAGGATAAGTATGAACTGAGGAAGATAAGATTGAGGGCTCATAATCTTTTTTCCTTTTTCTCTTCAAACTTTATTTCCAATTTCTAGCCCATTTTTTTTTTATTATGCAAAGGCGTGATTCTCTTCAGTGACCAGGAATGTTCTTTTGTAACAGTGACAAAGGGAATAACAATGAGATTTATTTCTAGATATGTGAACTGTGCCAGAGAATTATGTTTATGTTATAACTTGTTTTCTGGATGACTTGCCAGTCCTGCTGTGTAATTTCTCAGATACCAATATTGGTCCTTTCATCTTTCCTTTGAATTCTCATTTTATGCTTGCTTGTACTTTTCCTGATGCAGTTAGACCATGCTTTGTTTTGGCCGAAAGCCTTCATGTAAACCTATTCTTGAGTGTTTTAAAGAGCAGTGGTACCTTTGCCAAAATCAGAAGTCATGAATTCACTGAATGTGACTATGTAATCAAGGTTTGTCTCCTCACACATCAGCTCATTACATATTATTGATTGCATTGGCATGACCAGTTTATTCAGCACTACTGCTAACATTACTTTTAGTTCCAGTCATCTGATGATTGTAAAATGAACTTGTAGTTGTTAATTGGAAAAAAATCATAAAAGTAGCATATCCAAACATACTTACGACCACCTGTGCAATGACTGGGATAGTACCAACATGTTTCTTTTTTTTATCCTAGTATGCCACCTTACCCTTAAGAACCTCTGGCAGAATCTTTCTGTTCTAGGGTCTGCACCAAAGTTCCATCAGATGTTAGTAGATGTTCTGCTCTAAAAAATGTTCCTGGAAAAAAATTCAGTAAATGACTAGATTTATAAAATTAATTTAATAGCTTTTGTTTATTTTTAAAATAATAGTTTTCAGAGCTTTTAATATGCTAAAAATATCATAAATCTCCAAGCAAGGGGTATTGTATATATTATTCCCAAAACTTATTTGACCATTGAACCCTTTATTTGCTCAATACCTATTAACATTTCTTGAGGAACAGGATTTGGGAAACACTTGTCTTGGCACTATATATTTCATCTTTTGACCTTTAATTTTGAAAGGAAGTAGGAGATATAAAGCTCTATTTCATTATGAAGCTTTTAACATAATTCTATTTCCCATGCTTTACTAAGCTCCAGGGTAAAATGGACATGTGGGGTTAATATATGGTTAGAAAGGTGAGAAAAAGAAGGATGGGCCTGCTATGTGGACTGTGTCTCTTAATTGGCTTACATGATCTATGGTCACTTTTCATACCGAGTTGTACATCTGAAGTTGCCATATATATAAAAAAGAGTTAACCAGGCAGGTCTGAGTTGCTCAAATCATTCATATTTGCAGAAAGGTCTACTATAACTGGCCTTGGCTAACTCCTACAAACTGAACCTTTGTTATAAACTGATGAGTGTTACACATGGCTGCAACCTTGAACCGTGTTGTACCAGCTTTTCTACATCATTTGGGCAGAAAAATATATGTGATTATGGTGAATACTTGCTTTTCTTCTGGGCGTCTGAAGGTTTAGTCGCTGAACCCCATGAAAAAATCTGGGCTCTTAGACTCCAGAGAGCTTCCCTGGCCCCACCCCCCAAAAAACCCACTTCATACATGTTGCTAGGGGATTAAGTGTATCCTGTACAACTCCAGTGGGAGAAGGCACTTGGAAACTGGCGTTGGTATCCTCCAGACTCCACCCAATGCACTTTTTTTTTCCTTTATCAATCCTGCTCTGTATCTTTTCAGTGTAATAAATCAGAGCTGAGGATATCACAACTTCTAAGGCTTATAATTCCTCCTACTAGATCATCAAACCTGGAGGTAGTCTTGGGGACTACTGCCACACCTTGGGTGCCCAGCTTTGATTTTTTTTTTTGTAAGTTTCAAGTACCTAAGAGGTAGGCAGTCAGGAGTCAGTAGAGGAGAGGCTCTGTGAATATGAAAGGTCACTAGGCATCCTTCACAATGTTTGCAATTTGTATAATTGTTCACAAAATACTTGAAAACCATAGCAGGATTATAAACTTGTAATTCAGATGACTGCAGTTTTACACAAGAATCGTTGAATCTAGAGCCAGTTTTATTCTTTTCGAAGACCGTGGTTGTAACTTTTGTAAAAGAATGTATTGTATTTTGAGTGATTTTAAGGCTAACAATACAGCCTGTACAACTTTTAAGAAAGGATGAAGGATTTCAGATGTATTATATAACCTCATTGGATCTTTATTATAATAATAATAAGCAGTTAACATACACTAATCACTTGCCCTCTGACAGTTACTAGTGCTTTCACTTGTATTATCTTGTTTAATCCTCACCAGGACTCTACAAAATAGGTATATGGTCATTTTCATTTCATAGATGAGGAAACAAAGCTTTATAGAAAGAAAGTTACTTGCCTAATGCCACATTCTCTAGTAAATGGCAGAACCAAAATTTGTCTTAGAGACAAAGCTTTTACCTCAGAGTCATATTCTTTTTTGATATCAGGCCAGAAGGCAGATTTATAGTCAGGAGTAACCTTGAAAAATCCTTCAAATCACCCAAACAATATATAGTATGCCTGTCAAAAGTTTAACATACACTTTTCTTTGTCCTTGGAACAGATCACTGTTGGTTTTGGTTGAACATACTGTGCTATTAAAAAAAAAATGTACTATGTCATCCTTAGCACATTGCAAGCATGTGTGCGTCAAAGAGATACGCAGATTTCAGTTCAATTAAAGGAATAGTAGATTAATATCTCGCACCTCAGTGCTCTGGGCAAATGCTCATGGAATGGAATGGCAGACATTTGAAGTAGCTAAATTGTGCCTGCTTTTCACGTGCACTCTTTGTCAGTCTCTTGCTGTTTGTCTCACTACTTAACAAATACAAGGTGGGGAAAAGGTAGGTTTACAGTTCTTCATAAAGAAAATAATACAATAATTCATAAAAATATAAGAAGAAACTTTGGCATACTCACAACTGTAAACCTACTTTTGCCCTACCCTGTATTTATTGAGCACCTAATATATATGCCAGGGACTGTTTTTCAGAAATTAAAAAAACAAAGTTTGTGCCTTCTAGAATTTGTATTATGATGGAGAAAATGTGTGTGTGATATCTGAATATATGTATACCAGTTGGTGATAAGTACCATGAGAAGAAAATACAGGGAGTGCCAGGGCTTAGACAGTAAAGTAGTTTCTGTTTTTTGGGGTTTTTTTAATGGGGTGGTCAAAGAGAGACTCTCCAAAAGGAATAAAGAAGAAAGCCATGTGTATATCTGGGAGAAGGTACCCCAGAGAGATGGGACAGTAAGTAGGCAGTGAGGTGAGCCTATATCTAAATGGTCAAGGAGCAGCAAAGGGGTTAGTGTTGGTGGAGCATGGTAAACAGCTGGGAGGGAGACTAGTAGGAAATCAAGTTGTAGCAATAGAGTGTAGGGCATCGTAAGCCAGAGTCCGGATTTTGGAGTATTATGGGAAGCCACTGGAGGGTTTAAGCATGTGAGAAATTACTCTCGGAGCGCTATGGAGCAAGTAGACTGTTGGGAGAAAGAAAATGGAAACGAGGAGAAGGTAGGAGGCTATTCCAAGAGTCCAGATGAGTCGCTTGGACTGGTATGGTAGCAGTGGTTGGAGGGGATGAAAAGTGGAAAGACTACTTGAAAGCAGAGCTGAGAGGTTTTATTAATGGGTTGGATTTGGGGTGTGAGAGAAAGAGGAGGGTTAAGAATGACCAACTTCTTTTTTCCCAAACAGCTTAAAATAATGCTATTCCCATATACTGAAATATTGGAAAAACTAGGAAAGGACAGATTTTTTTTTTTTGCAGGGTGGATGGGGGAAATGTAGAGTTCAATTTTGCCCATGTTGATTTGAAATACCTGTTAGATATCAAATAATGACATTGAGGAGACAGTTGGATGGGTGCTATTTTAAATCATGAAGTTGGATGAGGGTAGGTATAAGTACAGGTAGAGGGAAAAAATTACTGAGAACTATACTCTGTGGAACTTTCTATCTTTCCTTTTATCTTACTGTTTTTTTTATTCTATTACAGTTGTCTCAATTTTTCTCCATTGCTCTCCCCTGCCCCACCCACCCTCCCTCTCCCACAGTCAATCCCTACCCTGTTGTCCATGTCCATGGGTCATTTATACCTGTTCGTTAATTAGACTCTTCCCCTTCCTTCCTCCTTATCCCCCTCCCCCATCCCCTCTGGTCTCTGTCAGTCTGTTCCTTGTTTCCATGCCTCCGGTTCTGCTCGTTTCTTTGTTTTGACTGAGATTTTTTTTTTCCCCCTTTCCCTCTCCTGAGAACATACAGGTGAATCTGTTTATATTGCCTGTACCTGTGGTATGATCCAGTGCACCTTACTTCTAAAATAGTCTTAAAATGAGCCCTGGCCAGTGTGACTCATTTGGTTGGGCGTTGTCCTGCAAACCAAAACATCGCGGGGTCAGTTCCCAGTCAGGGCCCGTGCCTGGGCTGCAGGGTTGATCCCCAGTCACAGCGCTGCAAGAGGCAATCTATCGATGTTTCTCCCTCACATCAGTGTTTCTCTACCTCTCTTCCTCTCTCCCTTCCCCTCTCTAGACTTAATAAAAGAAAAAAATTAAATAGTGATACTAGTAATCACTAGTAAAAATTAAGATACTAGTAATACAAAGACTTTATATTTATACATTAGTTTGAAACTTGTAGAGAACTTCTATTTATCAAATTCCTGTTATGCACCAGTAACTGTTAGGTACTTTAATATACATTACCTCATTTGGTTTTCCTAAATTATTTGTTTTAAATGGAAATAGTGATGAGCCTAAAGAAATACAGCTTTAGAGAAAAAGTTATTTTGTATCTGTATGTCGTTTTAAATTTATATACAAACATAAAATGTAATTTTAATGAAAGCATATACATAAAGATTGCAATTGATAATATATAATTTATAGTAGAAAAAGCACTAGCTATGACCTGGCTGGCGTGGCTCAGTGGATTGAGTGCCAGCCTACGAACCAAAGGGTTGCTGGTTTGATTCCCAGTCAGGGCCCAGGCCTGGGTTGTGGGCTGGGCCCCCAGCAAGGAGCGTGCAAGAGGCCACCACATGCTGATGTTTCTCTCCCTCTCTTTCTCCCTCCCTTCCCCTCTCTTAAAAAATTTTTAAAAATTAATAATAAAAGAACACAAAAGGAAAAAAAAAACACTAGCTATGAGCAAATGACTTAGATATCTCTTGGGTCCTATTTCCTATTGGCAAAATAACAGGACTGGATTTAAGAAGGGACACGGTCAAGGGGTTCTCAAGCAGTAGATTGGGATCTGCTGTCCAATATCATAGCCGCTAGCGATATATGTCTATTAATTAAAATTTAGGTCCTCTGTTGGACTTGCCACATTTCAAGTGCTCAATAACCAGATGTGTCTAGCGGCTACCATGTTGGACAGTGCACCTGTAGATCAGTATCATCAACCTTGAATGTCCTATTGGGCAGTACTGCTTTATACAACCATTTCTACATAACTTTTTCAGGAGTCTGGTTAAATTTTTTTGGTGTTAGAAAAGTTCAATGTATTTTACTAACTTGTGAAACAAATGGAAATAATGACAATTAAAAAATTTGCTGTTTTCAAGGATAAAAATACAACATAGCTCATTTCCATACTGTCGTGTGTTTGAATAATTTCTGCTTCAAATTTAAATTCAAAAAGTTTTCACCCTATAAATTCTATAAAACTTGTCTCAGTGGAACCTAATTGATATAATTTTCATCTTTATTGCCTATATATTAACAAATACTTTTGAAGCCCAAGTACTAATGCAAGAAGTGCTTTTAAATAATGAAATTATATTTTGGTGTTATTTATGATGGAATATGATAACATACTGATTTTTAAATTATGTAGCTAATAGAATTAATAGCAATTTCAGGTCCCAGGATTTGTGGTAGTAGAAATTATTATTTCTAATATTATTTGTAAACAGAAAAAAGGGGTTCATCGCTGTACAAAATGCAGACTACAGTTTTTGACCTGCAAGGAGAAACTGGATCACAAGACACAGCATCGGACATTTATAAAGCCTAAAGAGCTAGAAGGCTTGCCTCCTGGTTCAAAAGTAAGTTTTAAATATGTTGTATTTTAACATTTTGTGTGATAATAGAAATAAACTCCTACCTGGTTTTATCTATTGAATATAATAGTAAGATTTTTAATTTTCAGTTTTATCTTATGTTTGGAAAACTTCTATCCATTCTTTTTTGAATTGACTGATGTGTGCTACCTTGGATCATTTTTCTTTGTACTGAGTGCAACTAGATTAACTGCAGCCTGAGTCAGTGGGCTGTTTCAATACTCTATAGGCCGCTTCTGAGCTATTCCATTTGGCAGCATATATGTCTGCTTCAGCTACTAGACTAAAAGGTCAGGAATCATGTTTAATTTATCTTTGTGTCTCTAGCGTGCCTTGAATGTCATAGTTTGTTGAAGTTGGTATTACTGAGTCTGTTCTCAGAAAAGCAAGTCTTTCTTCTGAATAGCATTGCTGCTTTAAGAGTGCAAACACATCTGACTACAAATGTCCTTTTCCTTGATTACCTTATGTACATTTTCTCTGACTTTTTATGTAAAGTCAGCTCTTAGCTCTGCTCCAGTGGAGAGATACCTAATCCAAACTGAAAAATTCCCAAACATTTATATTTGGCTTTGAGTACTAACCGTTGAATGTGAATATGTCTGCTATTTGAATTAGCTAGTAAGTAAAATAGTCTGTGGCCATACCACACTGAACATGCCCGATCTCATCTAAATTAACTAAAATAATGTAAAATAATGCTCTGAAGATGTAGAGCCAGAGAAGCTTTTCAATATCCTTCCTTCCATGCAGTCCATTCCTGCCATGCTGGGACTAGATATGCAGAATACTAATGCAAGCAGTACAGTCCTCCCTCATATCTTCCCTTAGTAGTAGTAATAATTAGTATATTACATTACAATGTTAATCATAATGATTGCAGTTTAGAATTAAGCATTCAGTGTGCTTTTTCATACATTCTATTATTTAATCCATGCAGCAATTCAATGAGATATGTAGACAAGACATACCATAGAGAAGGCAGGTATGATTTCATATTATAAATGAGGAGGCCTAGAGAGGATACGTTACGTACTCAGAGTCACATGGCTAGGAAGAGGTAGTACTGAAATTTCACTTTGGGTCTTCTGACTCCTAGTTCAGTGTTTCTTGTAGTAGGCCGAACCATATGTGTTACATATGATTTCTTCATTGGTTGTTTCTCAAGTACATGGAGGTTGTATAGTCAAATGATTAGAGAAGGTAAATAGGTAACTATGCTTTTCATTATTAACCAATAAGTATAATCAGACATTTTCTTTTTCTAAATACTTAATGATAAATTTTATATTAGCTCCCTTAAAGGAAATCCTGAATATTATGAAATGCTCCATAACATATGATGAATTGATATAACCTCCACAGTAACCTTTGGAACCATAAATTATGCTCAGTGAGCCCCCAGAGAAAGCAGGTCATTTTTCCTGGAGATCTGCTTCATAGTCATCAATGAGTAATATAGGCCTTTCTAGGCCTGGCTGGTATGGCTCAGTGGATTGAGTGCTGGCCTGTGAACCAAAAGGTAGCTAGTTCGATTCCCAGTCAAGGCTCATGCCTGGGTTGTGGGCCAGGTCCCCAGGTGGGGGCGTGTGAGAGGCAACCAATTAATATATCTCTCACACACTGATATTTCTCTCCCTCTCTTTGTTCCTCCCTTCCCCTCTCTCTAAAAGTAAATAAATAAATAAAATATTTAATTAAAAAAAAAGGTAGCCCTGGCTGGTGTGGCTCAGTGGATTGAGCACTGACCTGTAAACCAGAGGGTCGCCGGTTCGATTCCTAGTGTAGGGCACATGCCTGAGTTGCAAACCAGGTCTCTGGTGGAGGACACATGAGATGCAACCACACATTGATGTTTCCCTCCCTTTCTCCTTACCTTCTCTAAAAATAAATAAATAACATTTTTTTAAATAAAAATAAATAAATAAAATCCTTTTTTTAAAAAGTAATACAGGCCTTTCCAGAGATGTTATTTCAGGCCTTTGAGATTTAAATTTTGACCTCTAAATTTGTGAAAGCTATTTTGTTATATCAGAGCATAAAATAGCCATGGAATATGCTCTTTTGATAATCATAATTAGCACTAACTCCTAATTATCCATTCATATCTATGTAATCATACAAATACTATCAATACAGCACTGTAATAGTATAACTAAGTAAATATTGATGTAAATTTAATTTAATTGGTATAACCATTTAGAATAAATGGAAAATTTAACTGAGTGTATGGTACATTTGCCATTTTCAAAGTAATAATTTTTAACTTTTTCTATTGCAGTGTTTTCTGAAACAGCTTTATTGCGATATAATTCATATACCATACTATTATCCCATTTAAAGTGTACAATTCAGTGTTATTTAACACATTTCCTGAAAGGTGCTAACATTACTACCATCCATTTTAGAACATTTTCAATACCCCCAAAAGAAACCCTATACCTATTGGCAGTGAGTTCCTACTTCCCCTCCACTAGCTCCAGGCAAATGTTAATCTTCTTTCTGTCCCTGTGGATTTGCCTATTCTGGACATTTCATATAAATGGAATCATATAATAAGTGATCTTTTATGTTTGACTTACTTGGCATGTTTTTGAGGTTCATCCATATTGTATCTTGTATCAATATTTCATTCCTTCTTATGGCTGTATCAGTACTTATGTATCAATACTTCCTTCTTTTTTATGGCTGAATGTTATTTCATTGTAGGAATACTCCGTATCTTATTTATCCATTCATCAGTAGATGGACATTTGGGCTGTTTCCAGGTTTGGGCTATATGAATAATACTTCTATGAAAATTCATGCACACGTTTTTATGTGAATGTAATTCATTTCTCTTGGGTGAAATTGCTAGGATGGAACACCTAGGAGTGAAATTGTTGGGTTATATACCTCTTAATGTTTAACATTTTGAAAAACTGCCAAACTGTTTTTCAAACCTTCTGTACCATTATACATTCTGATCAGCAATAATTAGGGTTGCAGTTTCTCCACATCCTTGGCAACAATTGTTATTATCTGCCTTTTTTAAGTATATTTTATTGCTATTAGAGTTGTCCCATTTTTTCCTCCCCTTTATTCCCCTCCACCCTCTACCGCCATTCTCTCTGGCATCTCCCCCTCCTTATCATGTCTAAGGGCCGTACATATAAGTTCTTTGACTTCTCCATTTCTTATACCATTCTTAACCTCCCCCTGTCTATTTCATACCTACAATTTATGCTGCTTATTCCATGTACCTTTTCCCCCACTCGCCCCCCTCCATGTCCGCTCTGATCTCCATTTCTTTGATTTTGTTCTGTTCTAGTTGTTTGCTTAGTTTGTTTCTATTTTGTTTTTGTTTTTCAGGTTCAGTTGTGAGTTTGTTGTCATTTTACTGTTCATAGTTTTGATCTTCTTCTTTATCTTAGATAAGTCTCTAACATTTCATATAATAAGGGCTTGGTGATGATGAACTCCTTTAACTTTACCTTATCTGGGAAGCACTTTATCTGCCCTTCCATTCTAAATGAAAGCTTTGCTGGATAGAGTACTTCTGGATGTAGGTCCTTGCTGTGCACGACTTGGAATACTTCTTGCTAGCCCCTTCTTGCCTGAAGGGTTTCTTTTGATTGAGAAATAAGCTGGTAGTCTTATGGAACTCCTTTGTAGGTAACTGTCTTCTCTAGCTGCTTTTAAGATTCTCTTCTTATCTTAAGTCTTGAGTAATGTAATTATGATGTGCCTTGGTGTGTGCCCGCTTGGGTCCAACTTCTTTGGGACTCTCTGAGCTTCCTGGATCTCCTGGAAGTCTATTTCCTTGGCCAGATTGGTTTGCTAAAATAAGTTTTCAATTTCTTGCTCTTGCTTTTCTCCTTCTGGCACCCCTATGATTTGGATGTTGGAACAAATAAAATTGTCCCAGAGGTTCCTTAGCCTCTCCTCATTTTTTTGAATTCTTGTTTCTTCATTCTGTTCCAGTTGAATATTTATTTCTTCCTTGTGTTCCAAATTGCTGATTTGAGTCCTGGTTTTCTTCCCTTTAGTGTTGGTTCCCTGTATATATATATTTTTTTATTTCATTTTGTGTGGCCTTCACTTCATCCTTTGTTTTATGTGTGTACCCAGTCACTTCTGTGAGCATGCTGATTACCAGTGTTTTGAACTCTACATGACAGGTTGGCTATCTCTTCATTGCTTAATTGTATCTTTCTGGAGTTTTTTTTTTTCTTTTTATTTTTTTCCTATCAGCTATTTATTTTATTTTTTAAATCATGTTTATTCTATTACAGTTGACTCAGTTTTCCTCCTTTTGCCCTCCTCCACCCATCTCACCTCCCCCTGCTCCCAGTCAACTCCCACACTGTTGTCCATGTCTATGGGGCATTCATACATGTTCTTTGTCTAGTCCCTTCCCCTTCTTACCACCACTGTCCTCTTTCCCCATCCCTTCTGGTCACTTTCAGTCTGCTACCATGTTCTGTGCCTGTGGTTATTTTGTTCTTTAGTTTATTTTGTTGAATAGATTCCACTTACAGGTGAGATTATATGGTATTTGTCTTTCATCAACTGGCTTATTTCACTTAGCATAATATTCTCCAGTTCCATCCACGTAGTTGCAAAAGGTAGGAGTTTTTTCTTTCTTTCTTCTTTTTTTAAATGCAGATGGATTTTATTTATTTTTTAAATGTCAAAATCCATTATAAAATATTAAAAACCTCAAATCCACTATAAAGTCTCAGCAATTAAAACATGACACCAGCACAGAAATAATAAAGTAGATCAATGAAATAAAATGAGGATTCTAGAAACAAACATATATCTGTCTAACAATGTAATATATGATAAAATTGATATTTCAAATCAATAGGGAAAATAAGGCTTATTCAACAAATAAGGTGTATGGACCACTATTACGTGAAATAAAACAAATATAGAGCTGTATTTCACACATTTTACAAAAAAATATTCACGGGAGTTAAAAAATAATATGTGTAAAATCTAAGGAGTTTTAGGAGAAAATACAAACTAATATTTTTCTTACCCTGAAATAAAATATTGAAACCCAGAAACTATAAAGTAAAATATTGACAATGACTATATTAAACATGTAAGACTGTACAGTAATATACATATAAAAAGGAGAAGTAATAGAATAAGAAAGTATTTGCACCACATCTAAAAAAGGATTAATAGTTTGTTTTTTGGGTTTGTTTTTTTTTTAGGGAAAAATTTCTATATGCATTTAGTCAAAAAATGCATAAAGAATACCAAAAAGTCATTTAAAGCTTTTTAAAAAATAAATAGAAATAGGCAAGAAATATACAAAAAACAGGCTTTGTTTCAACAAATAATACAGTAACACTTAAAATAATACATCATTGTCATAATCAGATTAATAAGTATTAAAAATATTCATAATACCAAGTATTGGGGACTGTGAAAGGAACTGGGTATTCATAGACTCTTTTTCTTCATCCTCTTAAAGCAATCCTTTTAGCATATCTTGCAGTGCTGGTTTGGTGGAGGTGTATTCTTTTAAAGGCCTCCCTTTGTCTGGTAAACTCCTCATTTCGGCTTCCATTTTAATTGAGAGCCTTGCTGGGTACAGCAGTCTTGGTTGCAGGCCTTTGCTTTTCATGACTTTGAATATTTCTTGCCAGTCCCTTCTGGCTTGCAGTGTTTCTGTTGAGAAGTCAGCTGCTAGCCGTATTGGGGCTCCCTTTTATGTTACTACCTCTTTCTCCCTTGCTTCCTTTACTGTTCTCTGTTTGTCTTTGATATTTCCCATTTTAATGATGATGTGTCTTGGTCACACCTTGCTCGCTTCTTGCCCCACTTCAGTCATCTCCCCTGCTATCCACAAGCAAATTAAACACTTCTGGTGCTGACTCCCAGGTGGGTGCGTTTGTGTACATTCTAGGACCCTGTGGGTCTCTCCAACAGACATTCCTCTAAGGCTGAGAGTTTCTCTGGCTGCCACCACAATCCACACAGGTTGTTATAGCCGGAAGTTTTGAGGCATTCTTGGAATGGGCCTCATTGGGCTTCTCTTGAATGGGACCCTGTGTACTTCTTGGACTTGTATGACTTTTTCTCTCCTCCTCTTCTTCTAGTATCCAGATAGTATACGGATATTATGTTTCAGGTTCTACATTTCCCTCAACACCTCTTCATTCTTTTTGAGTCTTTCTTCATTTTCTTGCTCTTTCTGCCTTTTCTTCGAGCTCACCAATTCGATCCTCTGCTTCATCTAGCCTGCCTTTGATTCCTTCTACTGTGTTCTTCAATTCAGAAATTGTATTCTTCACTTCTTCTTGCCTCTTCTTGATCGTTTCTATGTCCTTTTTCATGCTGGTACAGTTTGCAGTAAGTTCCTCATAGTTTCCCTGTAGTTTTTTGTAATTCTCTCTGAGCTCACTGAGTTCATTGAGCTTCCTTGAAACCATTGTTTTGAACTCAATATCTGATAGTTTACTTGGTTCTGTTTCATTGAGTACACTTTCTGGGGATTCCTCCTTTCCCGTGAGCTCCCCGTCGGCCTTCTCAAAAGTCTCTACCACAGTCCTACCAGTTAGGTTATGCTAATGCTGATTCTTCTGTCTGTCCAAGGTTATAAGGTTCCTCTCTCGATATTGTTCCGTTGTTTGTTCCAGGTGATTTCTCCGCAGTTTAGTTGTAATTCCAGATTGGTTCTGGGAGGAGGTCATTGTGACTTCCACTCACTCCTCTGCCATCTTGATTTCTCTTCTGGAGTTTTTATTTGTTCTTTCATTTGGGCCGTATTTCTTTGTCTTGGTGCTCCTGTTATTTGTGAGGGGTGGAGCCTTAGGTATTGACCAGGACTTGGCAACCCAGTTCGCTGCATTGTGGTTCTGTATGTGGGGGAGGGGTCAGAGAGGAAACTTATGCACCTTGCTCACTTCTTGCCCCGCTTCAGTCATCTCCCCTGCTACCCACAAGCAAATTAAACACTTCTGGTGCCGACTCCCAGGTGGGTGCGTTTGTGTACATTCTAGGACCCTGTGGGTCTCTCCAACAGACATTCCTCTGAGGCTGAGAGTTTCTCTGGCTGCCACCACAATCCCCACAGGTTGTTATAGCCAGAAGTTTTGAGGCTTTCTTTTCCTGCACTACAGCCTTGCGTTGTGAGGTCTGTATCGCTCCCCAGTTGTGCCTCCTGGTTTATCTGGACACAAATGTGGGACCACTGGTCTGCCAGCTGCCACCTCGCCTGCCTGGTCTTCCAGCCACTGCCTTGCTGCCTGTCCTCTCCTCCTACAAACCCGGCTGTGTCTCTGCCCCTCCTACCAGTCTGGATAAATGTTTCTTTAGCTCTTTGGTTGTCGGACTTCCATACAGTTTGATTTTTCTGGCAGTTCTGGTTGTTTTTTGTTTTTAAATTTGTTGTTCTTTTGGTTGTGTGAGGAGGCAAAGTATATCTACCTGTGCCTCTACCTCGGCCAGAAGTTTTAAAGTACTTTTAAATTATAGTTTACACATAATAATTTTGTATTTCCTTCAGGCATACGGCCTCATGGTTTGACAGTTATATACTTTACAAAGTGTTCCCCCTGATATTTCCTATATCCACCTGGCACCATATATAGTTATTACAATATACTTGCCCATTTTTAAATTGGGTTATTTGTGTGTTTTTCTTTTATTAAATATATGGGGGTTAACAAAATTATATAGATTTCAGGTGCACAATTCCACAACACATCATCTGTACACTGTATTGTGTGTTCACCACCCTAGTTTATTTTTATATTGAATTGTAAGAGTTTTTCATATATTCTATATATAAGTCTCTGATTAGACATATGTTTTGCATATGTTATTCTGAGGGTTGTCTTTTCATTTTCTTAATGGTGTCATTTGAAGCACAAAAGTTTTAGGTTTTTATGACGTTCAATTTATCCTTTTTTTTTTTTTTTTTGGTTTCTTATGCTTCCAGTGTCACATTTAAGGTACCATTGCCTAACCCAAGGTCACAAAGATTTATTGAGTTTTCTTCTAAAAGTTTTATAGTTTCAGCTCTTAAAATTTAGTCTTTTGATACATTTTGAGTTAATTTTTGTATCTAGTAGGGATCCAAATACATTTCCATGTAGGTATCCATTTGTCCCAGCTTCATTTGTTAATATGACTATTGCTTTCCTCACTGAATTGTTTTGGCACACTTGTCAAAAACAAATTGACCATACTGTAAGTGCTTGCACTGATCTTTTTAATATTATGGTGATGATTAATTTTATAAAAATGTATATTGCCTTCATATTTATAGGTTACTATTCGAGCTTCATATGGACATCTTCATTCAAAACCATCAGCTACATCTTCCAGTGATACTCCAAGCACTTCTTCTCTTCAGGTCTCACCTCCAAAGTCTAAAAATACAACTGCTAAAAATGCCACAAAATCAAATACAAGTAAGTCTAAGATATGTAAGGCTCGTGCAGCTACATCCACTGCAAGTAAAGCATCCAATGCAAGTAAGCAAGGTAGAGGCACATCTAAATGCAAAGCAAAAACCTCTTACAAGCAAAAGAAACAACGCAACAGAAAGAACAAAATCAGCATAGCTTTGAAGAATTTAAGGTAATATCTTTTATTCCTGATTTGCAATGTCAATTTATGTTAAATAGTAAAGGTTTATTTTAATATAATTTACCATATCACAAAACTCTCTTGCACATTTACATGATGATTACTTATCTGGCACAAAGGTCAAGCAGTAAAAAGGTACCTTTTACAACTGTTGGGCAGAACTTGAATTACTGTGTTTATTTGTTGTATAATTGTCATCTTTTACACTAACTTTATATTTTGTGTTTGTATCTTGTGATAGTTGAATTGGTTAATATTATCCTTTTTATTCCAGGGAAAGGTTAACTGCTGTCAGATTTTACACTTACTCTAGCTTGTTGTTTCATAGAAAAATTTCAAATTAATAAGTTTCTATTTCACAATGTTAAATATCTTAGCTTCAATTAATAAAATGTTAATAAAGCTTTACCTTATTATTTTTGTTTTACAGTATAAATTTTATCATTTTTTCTCTCTCCATAAGGTGTTGTCGAGGAATTCACAAGTGCATTGAGTGTCATTCCAAAATAAAAGATTTTGCAAGCCACTTTTCAATATATATCCACTGTAATTTTTGCAAATACAACACTAACTGTAACAAAGCCTTTATAAATCATATGGCAAGGTGAGTTAAACTTGTACACTGCCAATAAAAACTGCCATTCAAGGTATTTTTTTTAAAACAAATTTATCCAATTAGAAGCTAGTTTGTTACATCAAAGAGCTAAAAGAATCTGGCAAAGGAAATTTCTAGGATATTACCCAGTACTATTTTCTAGTATAATAACTCGTGAAATTAGTGGCACAAAAATTTCAAGAAGTTAGGCTAGTGAAATTAAAATAAGTTTATTAACAAAATTTATTTTTCTAACTCTTTCAAAAAGTGGTTATTTCCAATCATAAAATTTTTAATATTTCTAAATTAATTATTAAATAAATACATGTAACTCACATGAGCAGTTGCTTTGAGAGACACCAGATCTGTCAAAGATGGTAAGGCCGTTACTGGCATTTACATATGCATGCTGTTTCTGTCCCTCCCTTCCTTCCCTTTGCCCTTTTGACTCACTCATCCATCCCCCTGTCCATTCATCTTTCAAGCCATCCATCTTTGCATTCATTCAGTGAAATGTGACGTGAGAGACTATAGGGATATTCCAGTCATTATGCTACTGTTGGAATTTTTTTTCATATACAATTCAATTTAAATTACTTAAACACCTACCATACGAAATCTGTCCAGAAAAAGTCTAGCCATTGTTAATATAACAAGAAAGGTTTGCATGACATCCATGTAGCCTGGCAGCCAAGGAGAGTGGACTGGAATGCACATGCATGATCATTGACAACCTCACTGTACTAGTCAGTCGGGGCAGTAGACCCCATTGAGTGAGCATGTGTATTGTGTGGCTGTTATATTCAAAATGTCTGAGTGAGTAGAGCAACAAATATGCATCAAATTTTGCATTAAGCTTGAACATTCCTCTGCAGAAGTATTCAGATAATTCAGAAGGCCGCATCTATGGGCAACTGGCGATTGCCCGCTTCATTGCAACATCGTCACACCTCATGCTCATGCATCACACCTCATGCAGTTTTTTTGGTGAAATGTCAAGTCACCCAGGAAACTCAGCCCCCTTACAACCCATATTTGGCACCCTGAGACTTCTGGCTTTTCCCAAAACTAAAATCACCTTTGGCAGGGCAGAGGTCTCAGACTGTCAATGAGATTAAGGAAAATAGGACAGGACTGGTGATGGCAATTGGGAGAACTGTATGAGGTCCCAAGGTGCCTGCTTTGAAGGGTACTGAGGTGTCATTTTCCTATGTACAATGTTTCTTGTATCTTATACCTTCAAGAAATGTCTTTCATATCACATGGCTGGATAACAAACCTCATAAATTTTATGCTAGAAAAAGACTTAAGAGCCCACATTACTTTGATTTGGGTCTCATTTGTAGCACTTCCTTCAGGATGGATTCTTTTTTAATAGACAAAATTTTTTAATACATATATGCTAAGTTGATTGTTCAAATTAAAGTAGTTCTGTTTATTTTTATTCAGAAATAAGGTATAACCAATAAAAGTGGCTCTCGTAAATCATGACGAGACCTTTATTACTTTCCGGTCATAGTTAGCGTCTACTTTCTAGAATTTGCCCACTTTTTTTTATGACTTTGGCACTTGGCTTACTAGGTTTTTTCCCCCTTGATGATCACCCTGACGTCACGGTACCTTGACATCTTTAAAGCCAGCACTTCACATCCACCTGTGACATGTTGTACTCCCCGCTTTTTACCACCGTCCCCTTTTACCTCATCATATACAATATTTATTTTGAATTCTCATTACTCCATGATACTCAGTCTTGACCTGTCTTTTTAATCAGTGGCACCAGTCCAACTTTATAGTCAACCTCACCCTCAAGATCATTTGAATGTTGCTTTAATTTTGTCCTATAATCCTTTACCTCTTTAGTCATGTTTAACCTTGCTATCCTTGAATCTTTTATCCATTTTCTGTTTTATTTTTTAATTTAATCTTCATTATATTTTTCCATTATCATTTAGTCCCCTTTTTCCCCTCTTCCCCCAGCAATCACCACGTTTTTGTCCACGTCCATGAGTCCTTTTTCCTTTTTGCTCAATCCCTTCACCTCCTAACCCCCCCCCACTACCTGTCATCCTGCTTTTTATCTATGAATCTAACTCTGTTTTGCTTGTTAGTCAGTTTGTTCATTAGATTCCACATATGAGTGAAATCCTATGTTTGTCCTTCTCTGACTGGCTTATTTCACTTAGCATAATATTCTCCAGGTCCATCCATACAGTTCCAGAGGGTAAAATTTTCTTCCTTTTACAGCCAAGTAGAATTCTATTGTGTAAATGTCCCATAGTTGTTTTATCCATTCATCTATTGATGGACACTTGGACTGCTTCCATATCTTGTAGATTATAAATAACACTGCAGTGGACATAGGGTTGCTCATGTTCTTTTGAATTAATGTTTTGGGTACCTTCGGATATATTCCCAGAAGTGAGATTGCTGGGTCAAAAGACAGATCCATTTTTAATTTTGTTGAGGTATCTCCATACTGCTTTTCACAATGGCTGCATTAATCTGTGTTACCACCAACAGTACAAAAGGGTTCCACTTTCTCCACATCCTCACCGGTATATTGTTTGTTGATTTATTGATGATAGCCATTTTGACAGGTGTGAGATGGTATCTCGTTGTGGTTTTAATTTGCATTTCTCTGATGATTAGTGACATTGAGCATCTTTTCATATGTCTATTGCCCATCTGCATGTCCTCTTTGGAGAAGTGTCTATTTACGTCCTTTGCTTATTTTTTAATTGGGTTGTTTGGTTTTTTGGTGTTGAGTTTTGCAAGTACTTTACAAATTTTGGATATTAACCCCTTATCAGATGTATCAACAAATATGTTGTCCTAATCTGTGGGTTGGCCTTTGATTTTGTTGATGATTTCCTTTGCTCTGTGAAAACTTTTTAGTCTGATGAAGTCCCATTTATTTTTTCTTTTATTTCCCTTGCCTGGGGAGATATCCATTAAGAAACTTCTATGAGCAATGTCCAAGATTTTACTGCCTATGTTTTCTTCTAGGATTTTTATGTTTTTGGGTCTAACATTTCAGTCTTTCATCCATTTTAAATTTATTCTTGCGTGTGGTGTAAGAAGGTAGTCTAGTTTCATTTTTTTGCACCTATCTGCCCAATTTTCCCAACACCATTTATTGAATAAACTATCTTTAGTCCATTGTATGTGCTTGCTTCCTCTGTTGAATATTAATTGACTGTAAAGATACAGGTTTATTTCTAGGCTCTCTATTCTGTTCCATTGATTTATGTGTCTTTTTATGCCAGCACCATACTGTTTTGATTACTATGGCTTATAGTACATGGTTTGATATTAGATATTGTGAGTCCTCTGACTTTGTTCTTCTTTCTCAGGATCACTGTTGCTACGGGGAGTCTATTTTGTGATTCCATATAAATTTTTGAAATATTTGTTCTAGTTTTGTGAAATATGTCATTGGACTCTGTATAGGAATTGTGTTGAATCTATAGATTGCTTTGGATAGTATGGACATCTTAATGATGTTAATTCTTCCTATCCATGAATGCAGTATGTGCTTCCACTTATTTGTATCTTCAACTTCTTTCTTCAGTATCTTATAATTTTCTAAGTACAGGTCTTTTACATCCTTGGTTAGGTTTATTCCTAGGTATTTTATTCTTTTTGAAGCAATTGTGAATGGTATGGTTTTCTTTTCTCTTTCTGTTAGTTCATTATTGGAATATAAAGATGCAACTGATTTCTGGATATTAATTTTGTATCCTGCTACTTTGCTGAATTCATTTATCAGCTCTAGTAGTTTCTTGGTGGAATCTTTGGGATTCTCTATGTACAGTATCATGTCATGTGCAAACAAAGACAGTTTTACTTCTTCCTTTCCAATTTGGGTGCCTTTTATTTCTTTTTCTTGTCTGCTTATTGTAGTTAGGACTTCCAGTACTATGTTAAGTAAGAGAAGTGAAAGCAGACATCCCTGTCTTGTTCCAGATCTTAAGGGAAACGCTTATAGTGTTTGCCCACTGCGTATGATGTTGGCAGTGGATTTGTCATCTGCGGCCTTTATCATGTTTAGGTATGTTCCCTCTATATAAGTATTGCTACCCTAATTTTTTTTCCATTTGCATGAAATATGTTTTTATAATCATTTACTTTTAGTCTAGTCTGTATCTTTTGATCTGAGATGGGTCTCTTGGAGGCAGCATATATATGGGTCTTGTTTTCTTATCCATTCAGCCATCCTCTGTCTTTTGGTAGGAGCATTTTTATGCCATTTACATTTAAGGTGATTATTGATAGATATGTATGTAGTACCACTTTATTTTTAGACTGTTTTCTTTTGTTTTATTTTCTTTCTCTTTTTCTTCTTCTTAAAGCAAGCCCTTTAACATTGGTTGCACTACTGGGTTGGTATTAACAAACTCCTTTAGCTTTTTCTTGTCTGGGAAGCTCCTTATTTCTCCTTCCATTTTAAATGATAGCCTTGCTGGGTAAAGTAGCCTTAGTTATAGGTCCTTGCTTTTCATCACCTTGAATATTTCACACCACTTCCTTCTGTCCTGAAATGTTCCTGATGAGTAATCATATGACAGTCTAATTGGTGCTTCCTGGTAAGTAACTCCCTGCTTTTCTCTTGTGGCTTTTAGGACTCTCTCCTTGCCTTTCAGCCTTGTCATTTTCATTATGGTGTGTCTTGGTGTAGGCCTCTTTGGGTCCCACTCTTCAGGACTCTGAGCTTCCTGGACTTGTGCAACTTTTTCCTTCACCAAATTAGGGATGTTTTTAGTGATTGTTTCTTCAAATAGGTTCTCAATCCCTTGCTCATTCTGTTCTCCTTCTGGTATTCCCACAATGCGGATGTTGTTACATTTCATTTTGTCCAAGATGTTTCTTAAGCTCTCCTCACTTGTTTTAGTTCTTTTTTTCTTTTTGCTGCTCTGCCTGATTGTTTTTTCTCCCTTGTCTTCCAAAACACTGATTTGATCTTCTGCTTCATCTAACCTACTGTTTATTCCTTCCAGTGTATACTT